AATCTTTCATTCCTTTAGAGACAGCATGAAAAGTCAGCTGAGTACAAAACATAGAGAGGAAAACAAGAAGAAAAGGGACAAGAAGAGAGGGACACAACCTAGAACAGATAATGGATGTCTATTCTATTAACATTTCTCTATCTGGAGAATGGGGCTGTTTGATGTGTTGTCTTCTCCATTCAGAGGGGCCCTGCCTGTCTTTGCCTAGGGCCCCACATTCCCTGTATCTGCTCCTGCTCAGAGCTCTAACAGCTGAGATCCTCCATTAGATCCAGGAATCCCAGCAGAACCAGCAGCCTGGTTCCTTCCTGTTGAACCTCCAGCATCTTTGATTCTAATGAAACTCTTCTTCCTGCTCAGCAGTAAACAGGTTGTGACTCCAGTCAATATCTCTGCTGTGTTGGACTGAAACTGCTCAGAAATGTTCAGGAAGCCAGATTCTGGTTTGGACCACAGACCACAGAGAGAGCTTCCAGGTCTGCAGAGACGCTTTATCACTTTCTGCCCTTCAAAGCTGACAGCAAAGAATTCCAGACCGCCCGGCGAGTTGGACTTTAACTTCGCCGTGGTTAAACGCAGTGGGAGCAGATCCCTGTTGGAGCTGTTCAGCATCAGCCTGGGTGTCCTGCAGAGAAGATCGCTTCTGCTTTCAGCCCATTTCAGACTCTGCAGGCCTCAGAAAGCAGGTTAGACATTCGCTGCAAGGAGGGGCCGAAGCACGGCACTGGAGGACTGATGATGGGGGCCTGCAGTCACTGAGGGGACCAGGATGTCCTCTGTTCACCGGAAGGAGTCGGTCCGGTCCGGGTCATCACAGGAACATGATGCAAGATGGCCAAAATAAAAGTGGTGCATTGAAATGGCCTAGTCAAAGTCCATACATCCTAAAATAGAAAAGCAGGGAATGTTTTTAATGTCAAAAATCTCATCTGAGCAACTTAAATGTTTAATGAGTTTAAAGTTCAGAAAGTAGCTGAAGGAACTGGACCAGAACAGGAAGTCCAGTCTGTGGACCCCAGCATGTGCTTCACTTTTCCTCACTTCCCTAACCTCCCTTCACTTTCACACAATCACACGTTGACTTTTCACCAATGCAGCAAAAGTCAAAACGTGCTGCTGAAGATTCTCAGTCATCCAGGTCAGAGTCAGTCCAAAAAACTTAAAATCGATCCTCTGGACTTTGTTTCCCAGTTTGAAGACGTTTCTCTTCCATCCAGGAAGATTTTTCAATCCAAAATGTCAGAAATAGCGTTTAGTTCCAGGTTTTATCCAGCAGCCCAACAAAGTCTGGTTTTAGTTTAGAAAACATGCAAATAGAAACGGATGAACGGGTCCCCCCCTTTGGAATGGGGGTCGCCCCTCTGAAAGGGGGGGGCCTGGACCTGGAAATAGATCTGTAGAGACTTCATGAGCCAATCAGCCAATCAGGAGAAGAGTCTGGGGGGATGTCTAATCAGCCGGCCAATCAGAGAACTCCATGCTGCTGATCATTTCCTGTGCTTTAACCGTATGCAGCCGCATCCTGACCTCCATGAGGCTGAAGAAGGAAAACCATCTCTGCTGGGATCTGGATCTAAAACTGAACTGGATCCTCTGATTAAATGATGAAACCATGGTGATGCAATAAGCTTTCATTTCTTTATCGAAGCCTTTAATATGATTGGATGATCTGATAGAAACTGACCTTAAATGACCTTTGCTGTGGCTGTAAATAAACGGAACTGAATGGAATTGCTGTGAACGTGTCAATCATCCACCGTTTGCTGAACCCGGGATGGTTTCTCTCTTCAGCATCGATCATTTTCATGTCTGTGAGGTTTACTGTGGCTTCCGTTGTGGGCGACGCCGTGGGAAACCAAACCCCGCTTTGTTTTTGTGTTTGTTTCTCTCCCTCTCTCTGGCTTCACCCTCAGGGGTTTTACTAAAACTTGCTCAGAAAAGTCAGGCTTCAATTCTGTCTCTATTCAGCTCCGACGTGTCAAGTCATGATTGCTGCGTTGCACTAAGAGTTCGGTGGCAACTCCCTGAAAATAAAAGGAAACCTCCTGTGCGTGCCAGCTGACCTCATTACCTTCACCCCTCCCCCCGTGGAAATGTGTTTCAGCCCCCCTTTGTGTGTGAAATTATTTTTTTACTATTTGACTCAAATCATCCATGAAATGAAATGAAAACATGGAAAACAAATTATTATCCAGAAATTCACTTTGATACAAAATAACAAACTTTGCTGATTAAAATAAGTATCTTAAATATAAGCCTTCCTGCTTAACTTCAAACTGTAAAAATGAATATAAAACAATAAATAAATAAATAGTGCACATTTTGGTGCAACAGCAAAGTTGTGCAAACTTGTAAACATGTTTGTTCCTTAAATGCAGTGACTGAAGGCTACAGTTGGAAAAAATCATTATGAGGATGAAGGGATTCTGGGTCGTTAATTCATGCTGTCAGCTCATTGGTCACAATGAGGATAGGGGCGGGAACAAGTTTACCGTAAGTTTTCTATCTAATGTGCTTCATTTTCTATTAGCTTTTTACTGACTATTTTCTTTCCTCCCCAAGTAATACGGGACAAAGCGACCACTAAATATGGAATGATTCAGTTTTTCGAGGGACGGTTGGCAACTCTAAGCAAGAGGAAGCTAGGAGCTCTGTTAGGCTATGTTCCTAACAGAGCACCAAGCTCTCAATCTGCAGGTTTACTAGTGGTTCCTAGAATTTCTAAAAGTAGAATGGGAGGCAGATCTTTTAGTTATCAGGCTCCTCTCCTGTGGAACCAACTATAGTTATGCTATAGTTCTGCTGCTATAGGCTTAGACTGCTGGAGGACATAGGGACCCCTTTTTCATCATTCTGCTTCATTCTATCTCTATTCTCCCACTCTGCAGAATCTGTTAGTTCAATCTCTAACGTTCTGCTCTCTCTGCTTTTTCTCATAGTAGCTTCATCTGGTCTGTTCCTGTTTGGCTGTGACTCCATCCTGGAGAGAAATATCAGCTGTGCTGCTGCCATCAACACCTTTGTTTCTAGATGTTGGAGCTTGGCCTGTTTTCCAGTGTAGTCCTGTTTCTCTGACTGTGACTAACTGGATGTGCTCTCTTCATCCTCTGACATGGGAGCTGGCTCGGAGCTCGTCTGCCTGGCTGTGTGTTTCCTGGACGGGGCCGCCTGTGGAGCTGGTTGACAGTTGCCTTTTGTATCTATGCTTCTTTTTCTATGTCTGCTTCTGTCTCCTTGAACCCCAGTGGGCCTCAGCAGATGGCCGCTCACACTGAGCCTGGTTCTGCTGGAGGTTTCTTCCTGTTCAAAGGGAGTTTTTCCTCTCCACTGTCGCTACAAGCATGCTTAGTGTGAGGGATTGCTGAAGAGTCAATGAGTCGATGCAATCAGCTGGTTTTCTTTAGATAGAAAACTTTGAATCAATCTGATTGGATGATCTGGTTGATCTGGATCTATAAAGTGACCTGAGATGACATGATGTGAATTGGAGCTATAGAAATACACTGAATAGAATGGAATTGAATCACACACAGAGAAATATCCAGATTAATGTAACTAACTTGTGGGAAAGTTAGACCTGATTAGACTTTTCATTGCTGGTATCTAATAACTTGCTTTAACAGGTTATTTGATGATGTCATAACGATGATCAGCTTCTATATTCAGGTTTTTAATAAGCTCATCTTCTTGGTGCCTTCGGCAGACGGCGTTCCTCATGTTGTGGGCGGAGCCCTGCGGCTGGGTGAAGGGTCATGGCTCTGATGAGGCCAGGCTGAACTCTGGGAAGAAATAGTCTAAACTATAATGAGCTTGTTGGAAATGTTCTGCAGATCCAACATTAGCAAACGGTTCAGGACATCTGGATGTGTTTAAACATGCAGCCGGTGTCTGGTGGCCGCAGGAATGGATCAGAACCGGACCCAGAACGTTGGACCTGTGGGCCTGAAACACTTCATCCCCAGCCGGCTCTGGCTTCCAGGTCCAGTTACTGGGGGACCCAGCTGGACTAACTGGGAACTCTGCTGAGAGATCCGCTGCTGAGCATGGAAACATAGTTGGACACGTGTCCTCGCAGAAGACGGGTCGGTTTGGACTCACTGAAGCTGGGATCAGCAGATTTTAGTTTTATGACTGTTTCCTGCAGAGCTCTGTGCCGTTTCATTGTAATAAATCTGCCTTTTCTAAAACTCTTCTTTTGAATGAAGAGAAGCGGGTTTGGACTGAGGTCCGGTTCTGTTTCCGGGCTTTGCAGAGATGAAGGAGCCTTTGTTCCTCTTTCCTTTAACAGGAACCTCATTTCCATTCCTTCAGTCTGTGCTTTCATTCATGTCCGACCCATAAACAGCTGCTGGGAAGCTTCCTGGTTCTGATAAGATTTTACTAAAACTCCACCAACCAAACGGTTCTGAATTTGGAGGATTTTGGTTTGTTTTTTCCTTTTGATGCACAGAAAAAGTTCAAAGATTTCCAATGTTTTTATTTATGAACCAAAGATCAACAGAGAACATCATTAAGAACAAAACCCCCAAAAAAACCCAGAGATGCCAAAACTAAGCAGCATAAAAACCATCAAACCTGAAGCTGGCAGGAAGTGGCGCCTCCATCCGACAGTAACTGAACCACTGACCCGATAGAACCGCTGGACCAGGTCGATTCTGAGGGCGTTACGTAGAGCCGCCTTAGCCGCAATAAAACAGGAAAAGGTTCTGATTTAGCTCCGCCTATCTGGACAGCTTCCTGTCCCACAGCATGATGCTGCCGCCACAGTTTGGTTCTTAATATGTTTCAGATTTCCTCTGTTGGCTCCACCTCCTGTTTCTGCTCCCAAACACTGATCTCTATTTATTCCCTGGATTCCTGATTGTTTGTTGGTAGTACAGGGTTAAAGTGAAGCCACCGGCAGCCATATTGGTACTCCCTAGTTAGACCGGTCGCAAGGAAACAATCTATGCGCTACAGCATCGAATAACGATGCGCGTCGTTACTGAGTGTCTCTGTGGGAGTGGAGTACCAAGATGGCGGCCGGTGGCTTCACTTTTTCCGGCCACTGGTGTGAATGCTTCGCTCCAGGCGGCGATTGTTTGTCCCGTCGATTTTCTCACGGATGTTCGTGTTTCTGTTCCCCAGGAGAGCCTCCGTCCATCGAGACCAAAGCCGGAGATTATCCGTTCATGGAGACGTCGGAGGACGGGAGGAAGGTCCCCGTGGTTCAGGCCTACGCCTTTGGAAAATATCTGGGTTTCCTCAAAGTGACCTTCAACGATCTCGGCGAGGTGGTGGAACATTCCGGAAACCCAATCCTGCTGGACAGCAGCATTCCACAGGGTGGGGATCAGGGCTTTTATTTGTTTTACTTCCTGGTTCAGATGTTCTGATTGCAGTGATTCTGAGACCAGCTCCTCTCTCTGCCCCTCAGATCCACAGATTCTGGCCGAGGTGGATAAGTGGAAGAAGAACCTGGCCAATTACACGGCGGCGGTGGTGGGAAGGACTCTGGTCTTCCTGAACGGGTCCAATGCGGCATGCCGCTCCCAGGAATGTAACCTGGGAAACCTGATCTGCGACGCCATGGTGGGGATCCGGATCAGAAGCACCAGATCCTGGAAGGATCCTCATACTGACTCCGGCCTCTGTTTCCTCAGGTGGACAACTACATCAGGCTCTTCAATGACGAGCAGTGGAACCACGTCAGCGCCTGCATCATGAACGGCGGCGGCATTCGGAGCTCCATCGATGAGCGGACCTACAATGGTAGCAGGATCGGCGCAAAGAGGGCGGGATGGTGGGATGAAGGCGGTTTGTCAGGAGGTTCTGTTGCTCTGCAGGGTCCATCACCATGGAAGACCTGCTGTCGGTTCTGCCTTTTGGAGGAACCTTTGATCTGGTGGAGCTGAGCGGTTCCACGCTGAGGAAGACCTTTGAGTACGCCGTCAGGAGATACGGAACCAATTCTGGAGAGTTCCTGCAGGTGTCAGGTACTGCTGCTCCTCTGCTGTCTCAGGACAGACCCGTGGTACCAGAACTTCCCACTGAAATCAATTTAATAAGATCCTGTTTGGACCTCCATACCTCAGACAAAACCGTCATTGAAACGGGACACAGGAAGTAGTTTTATGTCAGATTCCTTCTCCTGCTGTTCCTGAGTCACAGTTCAGGTTTTCTCAGATGTTCTGCTTGCTGTGTGATGGTGGTTCTGACCCAGGAACATTTTCAGAACCTTTTGGATTAAGCCTCCTTTCATGAGCAGATTTTCATCTCCGTCCAGGATGCGTCCCTCTGCTGGAAGACTGATGGGTTTCTGTCCAATCAGAAAGACACAAGCCTGAATGGTTCTGCAGAAACTGGACCTGAAGGTTCTGATGAACAAGGTAGGTGAAGACGGACGTGAAAGCAGAAGGTCAGCTGTGTTTGGGCGGCCCCCGACTCAGAGATGGGGAAACTAACATGGCGACCATGTACTGTCCATCCCTGGCCTCCATCATTGCTGCAGTGTGTCATCCAAAATGGCCGCCGTCTGCCATACATCATGGCTGCAGTGTGTCATCCAACATGGCCGCCGACTGCCATACATAATGGCTGCAGTGTGTCATCCAACATGGCCGCCGACTGCCATACATCATGGCTGCAGTGTGTCATCCAACATGGCCGCCGACTGCCATACATCATGGCTGCAGTGTGTCATCCAAAATGGCCGCCGCCTGTCATCCAACATGGCCGCCGACTGCCATACATCATGGCTGCAGTGTGTCATCCAACATGGCCGCCGACTGCCATACATCATGGCTGCAGTGTGTCATCCAACATGGCCGCCATCTGTCATCCATCATGGATTGATCCATGTTCGTAGTCCTCCTCAGCCACCGTAGCTCCTCTGCTGTCAGGAAATCTTTCATCTTCCGGTTTGCTTTTCCAAACACAGCGTTCCAGCTGGTGAGGAGATGGAACCAGGCTGATGGGCATTTCTCAGACCACCTTCAGTGGTTTTCTGGTGGTCTAAAGTAGGAACAGGAAGGAGGATGGGAATAATGGGAATGTTGGGAACAGTCAGGTGGTTCTTCTCCTGCAGGACAGCAGCTCCAACCTTTAATTCTGGTTTAGTGGGATTCTATGTACTGGTTTAACTGGACTTTAACTGGTTCTGTGTCCTGTTCCAGGAATCCACGTGGAGTTTGACGTCTCCAAACCAGTAGGAAATCGTGTGAGGAGCCTCAGCATCCTCTGCACCAGGTGTCGGGTCCCGCAGTACGAGCCGGTCCAGGACGACGGCCTCTACACGGTGGTTCTGCCGTCCTACCTGGTGACGGGCGGAGACGGGTTCGTCGTCATCCAGAACGAGATGAAGAAGCACAGCAGCGGTGAGAACCCCGCCCACTCCTACTGGGTGAACCGGTTCGGACCGCCTCTGCTGACCCGCTTCTGTTGGTTCTTTCAGGTGATTTGGACATTTCCGTGGTGTCGAGTTACATCACAGGGAGGGGGCGGGTTTATCCGTCTCTGGAGGGACGCATCAAGGTCTACAACTCGGCCCGTAGACTCCAGCTCCCGCTCTTCTCACTGGTTTCACTGGTTTTACTGCAGTCTATATGGAGCTGGTGAGGGAGCCTCTGGAGCTCCAATCAGAACCCAACCAGAACCGATCCACTTTGGGTTCTACATGTGGCATTCAGTCAGAACTGATGTGATCCTGTTTTCTGTTTCCAACCTTCCAAACGTTTCCTGTGAGGGAAACAGGCGGTGCACTACCTCTCATAACCACTAGGGGGCCTCTCTGATTAACGCAGCTTAAATTAAACTCCTCCCACCAGTAGGAGGCGCAGCTTCCTGGAGACATGTTAGATGTTCCTGCTTCCTGTCCCTGCAGTTATTTTAAAGCCGCATCGTCTGTTCACACTTTCTGATCCAAATGGACCAAACAGGCTTAACTTGGTAAAACCAGAATCGTTTCTGGTTTTGTTTTGGCCAAATTGTATCGTTTTAAGGGTGTGAAAACTTTTTAGGGAACGAAATAAACAGTTCTGACCCAAAAGCTGAGATGTTTCTCAGGAACGCACCCTGGTCTGGAGGGTTTTGGGTCAGAACTGAATCCACCACAGAAGAAGAATCTTAATTCTTTCTGGCACTGTGTTCCCCACAGCATGATGCCGCCATTCCATGCTTCCCTGTAGGTTTGTTTGTAGGGTGTGGTGGATCTGTGACAGAAGCCGGTTCCTGCAGCTTGAAACGTTAGCAGGGAGGTGGACACTTTAGGTCCACTTGGTTTCTGAACCCAAAGTGATCCACTTCCACCATGGATCCAGTTAGATATGAAGATCCGGATGTTATGGATCACTTCCCTCCTCTGTGGTTCAATGGATTCTCCCTCAGACGAAAGCAAAGAACTTTAATGTTTTTATGGGTTCTGCTCTGGCTTAAGTCCAGAAATGTCTCTGCTCTCTGAATGCTAACGCTCTAGAAGAATCTGGGTCCGTGGGCCGAACCAGAAGCAGGTTCCCCTCAGCGGAGCAAGGCGGACGAGGCACTCGTACCTCAGCTTAGCGTAGCTCCTGGTGAACCTCATGCTCCTTCCTGGCTGGGATCCTCATGAAGTGCACCAGTTCCCAGAACCTCTGAAGCTCTTTGTTCTGAAGTTCTTCTGGGTTTCTGAAGGTCTTTTCACTGAGAATCAATTATTGTAATTTTGTCTCCAAAGTGGAACCGCCCCTCAGCGCCCCCCCATGGTGTCTTGGATAATTTCTTCTACATTGGATCAGTTAAAGCTGGACATACACTGCGATGTTTTTAATCGTTGCACGCGGCTACAGCTCACACTGTCCAATGAAATCACAGGGTTTAAAAGTTCACAGCTCACCATGTTTGTTCTCATGCTGTGCGACCCGACGCTCTGATGCGATCTACCTGCTCACACTCTACGACTAAAGACCTTTGCTACACCCTGTACAGCCATGTTAAGATCGCATCAGAGCATCGGGTCGCACAGTGTGAGAACAAACATCGTGAGCTGGGAACTTTTAAACTCTGCTGTTTCGTCGTGGAGTTTGAGCTGCAGCTGCGAGCAAGGATTGAAAGTATCACACGGCGTAAGGCCGGCCTTAGTTAGAAAGGAGCTTTCAAAGCAGAACCAGGCGAGTTCTCTGACCTGTGGGGTTCCACAAGGCTCGGTTCTGGGCCCATTTAGATTCTCCTCCTCTGTCCCTCCATCAGCTGCTTTCATTCAGTCTTGTCCTCCGATCTATGCAGAAGAAATCTAGTTGTTCATCTTTTCAACAGAACCAGTTTGTCCACCTCAGTCCAATTGGTTACTGGGTCTTTAATGGTTCTGGTTTTTCAGGACCAACATGACAAAGAAGTTGATGCCAACTGATTGTTTCTTGTTTCCTCTGATCAATCAGCTTCTTTGTGTTAAAGCTCCAATCAAACCTTTTTGTAAACAATAAATGATCTTAATCAAATGTTCAGCCTGGTGTTTGTGAGTCACTGAAATATGATTATTGGCTCTTTGTGAACAGAAGCTTTAAATGAAGCTGATCTGATTTAAATCGGATTCACAGGATTTTTCCTGTTTGGATTTGGAGGATACCTGATGTATCTACAGAGGATGTCGGCGGCATTGATCAGGCTGCCGGCAGCGGTTGACGCCCTCACATAGGCTTTGAACGAGCAGGACCGGGAGCTGAGCCGTATGCTGGGTGCGATTGAACGCAGGCTGGCTGCGCTGGCTGAACTCAAAGGTGAGATGGGATAATATCTTGGATGTGAGCGCTCGCTTCAAGGCGGAAAAACCCAACAAATTTGGAATATTGGATTCGCCACGTAGAACCAACAAGAAAAGACTAAAGGCTGATGGGAAATTCCCGTGCAGCCTGCTCTCAAAACAAGTGATTCGGACTCTTCCTTATCAAACCTCTCCTGGATGTTATGGCGCATTTCCGAATTCTCCCAGTGGTGCCCGACTTTACACCAGTAAATAAAGTGAATGTGATTGGTCGATTATGAAGGGGGCGGGATTGTTGTAGCGGAAGGTTTCCAAGCGAGTTTGGTTGTGTCCGTTTTGTCGGAAGCATCTTGCTAACCAGTTAGCAACTCAGTGCTAGTAGGTTCCCAAGTGGAAATTCCATTGGGACCAAGTAGCACTAAGATGCTAACCAGTTAGCAACTCAGTGCTAGTAGGTTCCCAAGTGGAAATTCCATTGGGACCAAGTAGCACTAAATTGGTGACTTAGAAACGACGCTGTCAAGGAACGCTATGGACAGCGGAAACATGCAAGAGGAGGAGAGTTTAGTGTCGGAGGTCGTGGATGAGTCTCCTCCGTCATCCATTTTTTATTTAGAGGAGGAAAGCGGGGACGAAGATGTTGTGGAAGAGGACGCCAGGGCGGCAGAAGCTTGGTTTGGTGTAGAAGGCTTCCAGCCGTACATGTTTGAGCCCTCGCCTCGCAACGCTGCCAGTTCTGTTAGCTCTACGCCTGCCGAAGACACAGACGTCCATCCCCGTGAACACTGGGACGCAACTCAATGGGAAAGGAAAGGATTCTGGTTTCAACCGTTGCGTATATTAGCTGCGACACATGAATCAAGATGCTATGACCAAAAACATTTGATTGACAGATGACCGTTGATATATGATTGGCCGAATTTAGGCGTTCAGGCTGACGTAGAACTAACTGGCCTGCAGAAGATAACGGAAAAAACACAGATTTTAACTTTGGGGACAATATGGTCTGATAAAGAGAACATTTATATATATATACATTTAAAGTAGAATGATTTGATATTTTAATATGATTTCCCTACGACTTTAAGATAACCACGCCCCTTTAAGGGCTCAATGTTAGGCCACAGAGGAGCCAATGAGGAATTCCTTGAAGAGCTCCGCCCACCCTTCCATTCCCTGAGCCATGGGGGCGTGGCCACAAACTGAGGCCTTAGAGCCGTCTGTCCTGCCGTTGCCATGGTGAATCATGTTTCATGAGAGCTTCCTATTGGCTTAGGCTAAACTGCGGGTAGGACGGCCATCTTTTCAGACTCTAGCCTAATGTTGAGCTAGAGTCTGTTGTCGTAGAAACCAGGTAACCAGGAAAGCTGTTCCTGGTTTTCTATAATTGACTTTTTTAATTCGGATGTACAAAAATAAAAGAAAATAACTGCGTTTCTTTAGCGTTTACTGAATAAATACAGAAATAGATGAAAGGTTTGAAATATATAAATGAGAAAATTTACAAGATAAATACTGAAATGACCGAAAAGCTAAACTTAGATTAAATCAAGTTAAAGTAAAACGCTGCCTTTAAGTTCAGATGTTTGTAAAGTGAGCTTCTCAGGAGTGACAGCGGTGACAGCCAATCACACAAGAAAAGACGGAGGGCCAATCAGGAGCTTGTGGTCTTTGGTTTTCCGCTTGGTCCTAGTGCTCGACGAATATCTGAGCATCGTAGTGTAACTCTGGTCGTTTCCCAATTGAGTTTAGTCTATTTGTCCTTCCAGTATTCCTGCACTTCTAAACATTTCCAAAGAAAGTGGCTCTGATCTGCTCCCCTCACCGTCTCCTGCCTGGTCATTCTGTAAATTTATTTAATTAATTTATAAAATCCTCCCAGTGTTTTCCCGGCAGAATTCCCTCCACATCCTGCAGCTGGCAGCGGTTTGCTGAGCATCACATATGTTCATCCATTCCTCGCCACATCGTGAAACCTTAAACTCTGACTCGTATAAACAAGGTTCCTCTGTTCTATTTTTAGACGCTTCACAAAGTGTTAATATCTCCTCATTCAGTTGTTCTGGAAGATTTCCTTTCTTTACTTTTAGGAAGTATTTTCTTTAGGAAGTATTTCGCTCAGCTCTTCTGTCGAAGAGCTGAGCGAAAGTGGAAAAAGGACAAATTGCAAATATCTTTTCAATTACTGAGAGAGTGTTGGCGTCATTACCAATCCACTGTGAAAGAGGCTAAAAGAAGATATTTTTCCGATATTGTTCTTTTAAACTGTGGTAAGCCTTGTGTGTTGTTTAAAGTTATCAACTCTGCTCTGAATGCACCTCAGACTGTAATTGAGGCCTCCCCTGCTGTGTGTGAGAACTTTCTTCACTACTTTATTGATAAAGTCACTTCTACCAGAGCACTTATTTCACCTCCTGCTTCTGATCCTTCGGTGTTTGTCCCCTGCTCTGCTGTGTTTGACATGTTTGAACCTGTGAACCTGCCTTTTGTGCAGGAGATTGTGGGTCACTTGAAGCCTTCAGGGTCTCCAGATGATACTGTCCCACCCCGATTTTTTAAGGAGGTCTTTCCCACTATCGGGCCATCGTGTCTCACAATTATTAATAGCAGTCTGTCCTCTGGAGTAGTCCCTTTAAATCTTAAACATGCAGTCGTGCAGCCTTTATTAAAAAAACCTGGGCTGGATCCTACTGTTCTGTCGAATTTTAGGCCTATCTCTAAGTTGCCTTTCTTCTCAAAAATCTTAGAGAAGATTGTTTATTCTCAGCTCATGGACTTTTTAAATGAACAAAATGTTCTTGAGATTTTCCAATCTGGTTTTAAAACATTGCACAGCACAGAATCAGCGCTTTTAAGAGTTTTTAATGACATCTTTTTAGCTACTGACTCTGGACACTGTGTTGTCCTTGTACTTTTAGATTTGACTGCAGCATTTGATACAGTGGACCATGAAATCCTGATTGCTCGTTTGGAACAGTGGGTGGGCATCATGGGCTTAGCACTGGAATGGTTCATGTCCTACCTGTCACATCGGACTTTCTGTGTCAGCCTTGATGACTCTGTGTCCTCCACTGCTCCTCTCTCATGTGGGGTCCCACAGGGCTCCGTGCTTGGCCCTCTTTTATTTTCTCTCTATCTACTCCCACTTGGCTCCATTCTCAGGAAACATGGCATTTCCTTTCACTGTTATGCTGATGACAGCCAGATTTATGTCCCCCTCAAAAAGGCTGATTCCTACTCTGTTGAACCACTGTTAAGGTGTTTACATGACCTTAAAGCTTGGATGTCTTTAAATTTTCTGAATTTTAATGAAGAAAAGACAGAAGTCATGGTCTTTGGTGGCACATCTGTGACCCCCTCCCAAGTTGATCTCGGTTCTCTATCGCAATACAGTAAACCAACTGTAAGAAACCTCGGGGTAAAAGTGGACTCAGACCTTAAATTTGACAGCCAGATAAAAGCTGTAATGAAATCTAGCTTTTTCCAGCTAAGGTGGCTGGCAAAGATCAAACCAGTCCTTCAGAGACGGCACTTTGAGACAGTAATCCACGCCTTTGTGACCACTCGGCTGGATTACTGTAATGCACTTTATGTGGGGATTGCTGGGTCCTCAATTGCTCGTCTTCAACTTGTTCAAAATGCTGCTGCACGTCTTTTAACTGGCACACGCAAGTACGAGCACATTTCACCTGTTTTAGCTTCACTCCACTGGCTGCCCATCCATTTTAGGATTCATTTTAAAATTCTTTTATTTACTTTTAAAGCCTTGAATGGCCTTGCCCCAATTTACCTCTCTGAGCTTCTGCACCCCTACACTCCCAGCCGATCTCTCAGGTCAGCTGATCAGACGGCGCCTAAAGCAAGGCTTAAGCTCAGAGGGGATCGAGCGTTTTCTGTTGCAGCTCCAAAACTCTGGAATGCATTGCCGCTGCACATTAGACAGGCCACCTCTCTGTCTCATTTTAAAACTCTTCTTAAAACCCACCTCTTTTCTTTGGCTTTTAACACCATGTAGAGTGTTGATTTTATGTACACATGTTGATTTTATGTATACACATGCATATTTTTATCCTGTGCGGGCAGTGCTTTTATTTTATTTTATTACTTTTATTTATTTTAGTTATTTTATCTTTTTGTGCAGCACTTTGGAAACCTTGTGTTTATTTAAACCGTGCTATATAAATAAAGTGGAAACGTGTCGAAGTCATCGTAGCTACGATACTTTCAGACTTTGGAAACTTTTCATTTTCACTTTAAAACAGAACTTTAAAGTTTTCTTTATTAAGGACTCTAGAGTTGGGGTTTAAGTTTTGTCAATAATTTCTTTCTTCTGCTTTTAACATTATTTTAACCGTAAAATGGCCGCTGATGGATCCATCAGGCTTTTAGATGGAAACTGACTTTTGTGAATTTATTCCATGTGTGCAGATTTAGAGGAAGTTTGATTAAATATCAAGTAAACGGCAGAAAACAAGAAGGAGATCCATCTGGGAGACAGATGACACACTGCAGGGAGCAGGAGGCCTCAGCTGGAGGAGCAGAGGGAGTAACCTCAGCCCTCCCTCCCCCCACTTCCAATAAAAGCTTCCTGGATGGGAAGCGAAACATCTTCAAACGTAGAAATGAAATCCTGTGGATTTTATTTTTTTAAATCTTTTTTTTAGAACAGCATCAAAAAGGAAAGAAGCAGAAATAAAACATAAAAACTTTATAAAATCATTATGTTGGATTCCTGTCAGCTGTTTTCAATCAGCCTTATTTTATTTCTCCTTTTTTAGTTTCGTTTTTTTATTTGTTTATTTAAGGGTTTCCTGTTTTTAGTTTTATTTTTTTGTAAATAAAGTTAAAAATAAAAACTTGGCTGCTGTTTTAAACTCAGTGATGACGACCAGGCACGTGATTGGCCGAGCTGAACATGAGGCGGGCAGCGATTGGCTGGTTGGACTGACTCTGGTTTCACTTCCAATCAGAAAGACCATTTTTTCAGGTACCATACTATCTTTATTGTATCTCTTATATCCGCTGGTTTTCGCTGTTCTTATTCACAAAAAAAGAGCAAAATACAAATTTATAAAAAAAAACAAAACAAACATATAATAGAAATAATAAAATTAAGCAGTAAAGGTGAAAAGAAAATGTGTGTTTCCTGGACGGGGCCGCCTGTGGAGCTGGTTGACAGTTGCCTTTTGTATCTATGCTTCTTTTTCTATGTCTGCTTCTGTCTCCTTGAACCCCAGTGGGCCTCAGCAGATGGCCGCTCACACTGAGCCTGGTTCTGCTGGAGGTTTCTTCCTGTTCAAAGGGAGTTTTTCCTCTCCACTGTCGCTACAAGCATGCTCAGTGTGAGGGATTGCTGAAGAGTCAATGAGTCGATGCAATCAGCTGGTTTTCCTTAGATAGAAAACTTTTAATCAATCTGACTGGATGATCTAGATCTATAAAGTGACCTGAGATGACATGATGTGAATTGGAGCTATAGAAATAAACTGAATAGAATTAATGTTTTTCTCCAAAGTCATGAGTGGAGACAGAAGAGAATCATCTATACTCCTAACCTCAATAAAACATGCAGTAAAATGGATGAAATATTAATTCTATATTATTTTATCTTTATTAGTATAGATTAGCCTCTAACATAAACTGAAGACCGTTCTGCCACCTTTCATGAAAGATAAAAGCGGAATCTGAACGATTCTTGTTTCGACCAGCTTCCTGTTTCCCAGCCATGAAGATCTCCTGCCTCAGCGGACCGGACCGGACCTCCACCTAAAACCAGAACCCTCTGAGAAGCAGACAGACTCAGGCAGCAGGAGGGAGAATAAATATGTGTTTATTGGTTCTGGAGCAGGAAGTGGAGCAGGAAGTGGAACAGGAAGTGGAATGTAGCTTTGTCTGGGAGTCGGCAGGAGATCTTTGAAGAGGAGCTGAGGTCGATCCGCCTGACCCGCCCCGGTCAGACGATGAAGGCCTCCCTCGGACCCTGCTGAGGAGCACAGCAGCTGTCAGCTCTGTCCGGGTTTAAAGTCATCATGTTTTCTCCACAGTCTAACTGCAGACATGTTCGCTGCTTCCTGCACGTTTTTTCCATCCGTTCATCAGGATTGATTCTGATTTAAAGGAACCGGATTTATTCTCCAACAGTAACTGAGAGAACAAGTTTGAATTTATCTACATGTCCCTTAATGCTCCTCATGCTTTATTCTCTGATCCATTTCCTGCTCATTAGTTCACTCAGGTACGCTGGAGGAATAATCTGGCACTGATGGCTGGTTGGTGGCTGGTTAAATAGAGGCTGAAGTAGGTGGATCAGATGAACGCTAATGAGAACTGGGCGGAGCTGGGCAGGTGGATGAAATGAGTGATCAAGCCGGTCATCAGCTCCAAGATCAAGACAATGTGAGGAGAATCTAGACTCTGTTATCTCTTTGTTTGTTTGGGTTTTTTTTTTAAATAAGAAATATTTATAAAAATGGCCGTCCTTATTGTGGCATTTCTATGCTGAAAGAACTGAAGTAACACTTCATTTGGATGGGATTAAACTGATTTCAGATAATAAAGTAAAAAATCTTGGTGTTGTTTTTGATCAGGACCTGTCATTTAAATCCCATATCAAAGAGGTTTCTAGAATTTCCTTCTTTCATCTGAGGAATATTGCATAAATGAGCAATCTCCTGTCCAGGGGTGATGCTGAGAAACTAGTCCATGCATTTGTTACTTCAAGGCTGGACTATTGTAATTCTTTGCTATCAGGAAGTCCACAAACTGTAGTTAAAAGCCTTCAGCTGATCCAAAATGCTGCAGCCAGAGTTCTGATGAAAATGAAAAAGAGAGATCATGTCTCTCCTATCCTGGCTTCTCTTCATTGTTTAGTTACAGTATTATAGTAAATATGCTGCTATAGTCTTAGACTGCCGGAGGACATGGGGACCATTCAGCCTCATTATATATCTGGGGATTAATTGGTTTATTCTTATTGTACCAATTCCAAACTGTTCTATTCCACAGAGGCTCATATATTTACATACTTCAGCTGTTAGTTATCTCACCACCTCACCGTTCTTTACCTGGAACCACTTTAATGTACGAAACCAAATCCATTTCTGAATAAATCACCTTAAATCTCTGCCTTAATTCTTTTTTTCCTGATCCACTGCATACATGTTGATGCACGTTTTCTCCTTTTGACTCTTCAGTCGATGTGAAAAGTGAATTTCTCTCTCAGATCAATAAAGTTCATCTCATCTTTTCTTATTAAGCAGCTTCTGGATTCATTCTGGAAGAACTTCCAGAAACATGATGTTGGAATCCAATGAAAGCAGCCTGGGAACCACTGACCACTCAGAACAGGTTCCCCACAGCATGATGCTGCCATCACCATGTCTGAACGTTGCTGCAGCTTCATCGGACCACATCTGTTCTACAGAACTTTGGATCAGAGGAAGCTTCTCTTAATGGTTTCATTAATCCAGCCTGGAATAACCATTGACATGGATCATTTTTCAGACCTCCACCCTCATGGTGAGTGGATGGAAACTGGACCTGGTTCTGGAAACTCTCTGAAGTGATCTGGGTGTTTTTAGAACTTCTCCCTGATGATCACTGGAACCCTCCGCTGGATAAAGCGCTGGCTAAGTCAGAGGCGGGACCTTCAGGGAGGAGCCGTCAGGTTCTACTCAGTGCGTGCGGCTGAGCGCCTGCTGCATCTTTACCTTGTTGAGTTCAGGAAACAGCTCCAGGATGGCGATGTCCAGCAGGACGTAGGTCATCTGAGGAGGAGAAGGAGATTCATCTCTGACCCGGCTGATAGAACATGGTTCTGTTCCAGTTTCTCCTTCCTGGAGCAGCTGGGAAACGTTACCTGCTTGTTGAGAAGTGGCTGCTGCATTCCGTGGAACAGCAGCTCCATTCCTTCCTGCCTGGAATCTTCTCCGATCAACTTCACCACCAAGTCTGGAAGCAAACGCAGCTTCTGTCAACGATTCACCCCGATTAACGCTTCCCGCTGTCCGAACCCACCGAACTGGCCCGGTACCGGCACAGAGCTCATAGCACCAAGGTTCTATAGCACCAAGGTTGTGCAGCATCATGGTTCTGCAGTTTCACGGTTCTGCAGCATCATGGTTCTGCAGCTTCACGGTTCTGCAGCTTCACGGTTCTGCAGCATCATGGTTTTGCAGCATCACGGTTCTGCAGCATCACGGTTCTGCAGCATCATGGTTCTGCAGCATCATGGTTCTGCAGCATCATGGTTCTGCAGCATCACGGTTCTGCAGCATCACGGTTCTGCAGCATCACGGTTCTGCAGCATCACGGTTCTGCAGCATCACGGTTCTGCAGCATCACGGTTCTGCAGCATCACGGTTCTGCAGCATCACGGTTCTGCAGCATCACGGTTCTGCAGCATCACGGTTCTGCAGCATCACGGTTCTGCAGCATCACGGTTCTGCAGCATCACGGTTCTGCAGCTTCACGGTTCTGCAGCATCATGGTTTTGCAGCATCATGGTTCTGCAGCATCACGGTTCTGCAGCATCACGGTTCTGCAGCATCACGGTTCTGCAGCATCACGGTTCTGCAGCATCATGGTTCTGCAGCATCATGGTTCTGCAGCATCATGGTTCTGCAGCATCATGGTTCTGCAGCATCATGGTTCTGCAGCATCATGGTTCTGCAGCATCATGGTTCTGCAGCATCATGGTTCTGCAGCATCATGGTTCTGCAGCATCATGGTTCTGCAGCATCATGGTTCTGCAGCATCATGGTTCTGCAGCATCATGGTTCTGCAGCATCACGGTTCTGCAGCATCACGGTTCTGCAGCATCATGGTTCTGCAGCATCATGGTTCTGCAGCATCATGGTTTTGCAGCATCATGGTTCTGCAGCATCATGGTTCTGCAGCATCATGGTTCTGCAGCATCATGGTTCTGTGTCTGCTGCCCTGTTCTGGAGGTCAGTGTCGGCACCGAGGAGAGAATCTGGACTCTGACCTGGTAAATACTTCATCATCTCCTCAAACGTCTGCTTGGCTCGCACTCGTTTCTCCTCTGCCGTCCGTTCCTGGTTGTTCTCACAGAACACAGCATCTGGACCAACAGACAGATGGGAGAACTATCAGAACCGGTCCGGAGAGCAGCGGGTTCTAAGGTTCTGGTACCTCTGAGCTGCGTGATGAGCGACAGCAGCCGGTGCTCCTGCAGCACGGCCTCCAGCTTGGACTGCAGGTTCTGATCCATGTAGGCCTCAAAAGTGTTCTTGAACAGGATCCGTCCAGCAGCCAGGATGTGGTGCAGCCAGTCCGGCATACGGAACACCACCCGCCCTGAGGAGAACCCAGAACCAGGGGTGAGAACCCAGGACACCCGCCTGACTCAGCCGGATCAGAACCGTTTCTGTAGCGACAGCGCCCCCTGCTGCCAACCGATCAACAACAAACCAGGAAGGTTCTGGTTCCTCCAGCAGATGGAACCGGGCGGTTCTGGGCCCAGAGAAAGGTTCTGGAACATTCACTCACCAACATACATCATGTAGTCGTACATCCCGTCCACCTCCATCACCTCCAGGAAGCAGTTGGAGTTCTGTTTCCGCTCCGACCCGTTGACCCGGTTGGCGTTGTTCCCGTACAGGTCGCTGAACAGCTGCAGGTGAGAAACAAGCATCAGAACATCAGAGGAGACAGTCGCAATGGAAACCTGACTGCTGGTCCTGCAGAGACCTCTGCTCCTCCTGGAGAAGGAGGTTCTGACCCGGTTACCTTCCTGTTCTCGGCGGTCGGGCTGAGGACGGTGAGTTCTGGTCGGCTCGGTTTGGGTTTGGGCGACTCGCAGGAGTTAAAGAAGGACTGGATGAAAGGCTCCAGGTTCTGACCTTTCTGCAAACAGACACAGAACAATCAGAACCAAACGTCTACGGGTCGGAACCAGAACCAGAAGCAGTTGGCAGGAAGAGAACGTCCTTATAAGGAAATAGGAGGAAACGGAAGCAGGAAACACGTCCTGAAGGGAGAAGAAGACAGGAAAGGTATGGACGAGGTAGGGTTAGGGTTAGACGACCCAGAAAGACCAGTTTGGAAGAATCCCGTCCACGGGGGGGGGGGGGGGACGAAGGAAGCAAGGGAGGGAGGAAGGAAACAAGGGAGGGAGGAAGGAATTAAGGAAGGAATGAAGGAAGCAAAGGAGGAAGGAAGGAAGGAAGGAAGCAAGGAAGGAAGGGAGGGAGGAAGGAAGGAAGCAAGGAAGGGAGGGAGGGAGGAAACAAGGGAGGGAGGAAGGAATTAAGGAAGGAAGGAAGGAAGCAAAGGAGGAAGGAAGGAAGGAAGGAAGGAAGCAAGGAAGGAAGGGAGGGAGGAAGGAAGGAAGCAAGGAAGGGGGGGAGGGAGGAAACAAGGGAGGGAGGAAGGAATTAAGGAAGGAAGGAAGGAAGCAAAGGAGGAAGGAAGGAAGGAAGCAAGGAAGGAAGGAAGGAAGGAAGCAAGGAAGGGAGGGAGGAAACAAGGGAGGGAGGAAGGAATTAAGGAAGGAAGAAAGGAAGCAAAGGAGGAAGGAAGGAAGGAAGGAAGCAAGGAAGGAAGGGAGGGAGGAAGGAAACAAGGGAGGGAGGAAGGAATTAAGGAAGGAAGGAAGGAAGCAAAGGAGGAAGGAAGGAAGCAGGGAAGGAAGGGAGGGAGGAAGGAAGGAAGCAAGGAAGGAAGGGAGGGAGGAAGGAAACAAGGGAGGGAGGAAGGAATTAAGGAAGGAAGGAAGGAAGCAAAGGAGGAAGGAAGGAAGGAAGCAAGGAAGGAAGGGAGGAAGGAAGGAAGCAAGGAAGGAAGGGAGGGGGGAAGGAAGGAAGCAAGGAAGGGAGGGAGGAAGCAAGGGAGGGAGGAAGGAAGGAAGGAAGGAAGGAAGGAAGGAAGCAAGGAAGGAAGCAAGGAAGGGAGGGAAGGAAGGAAGCAAGGGAGGAAGGAAGGAAGCAAGGAAGGAAGGAAGGAAGGAAGCAAGGGAGGGAGGAAGGAAGGAAAGAAGGAAGCAAGGAAGCAAGGAAGGAAGCAAGGAAGGAAGGGAGGAAGGAAGGAAGGGAGGAAGGAAGGAAGGAAGGGAGGGAGGGAGGAAGGAAAGAAGGAAGCAAGGAAGGAAAGAAGGAAGCAAGGAAGGAAAGAAGGAAGCAAGGAAGGAAGGAAGGAAGGAAAGAAGCAAAGGAGGAAGGAAGGAAGCAAAGGAGGAAGGAAGGAAGGAAGCAAGGAAGGAAGGGAGGGAGGAAGGAAACAAGGGAGGGAGGAAGGAATTAAGGAAGGAAGGAAGGAAGCAAAGGAGGAAGGAAGGAAGCAGGGAAGGAAGGGAGGGAGGAAGGAAGGAAGCAAGGAAGGAAGGGAGGGAGGAAGGAAACAAGGGAGGGAGGAAGGAATTAAGGAAGGAAGGAAGGAAGGAAGCAAAGGAGGAAGGAAGGAAGGAAGCAAGGAAGGAAGGGAAGAAGGAAGGAAGGAAGCAAGGAAGGAAGGGAGGGAGGAAGGAAGGAAGCAAGGAAGGGAGGGAGGAAGCAAGGGAGGGAGGAAGGAAGGAAGGAAGCAAGGAAGGAAGGAAGGAAGCAAGGAAGGGAGGGAAGGAAGCAAGGAAGGGAGGGAAGGAAGCAAGGGAGGGAGGGAAGGAAGCAAGGGAGGAAGGAAGGAAGCAAGGAAGGAAGGAAGGGAGGAAGGAAGCAAGGGAGGGAGGAAGGAAGGAAAGAAGGAAGCAAGGAAGGAAGCAAGGAAGCAAGGAAGGAAGCAAGGAAGCAAGGAAGGAAGGAAGGGAGGAAGGAAGCAAGGGAGGGAGGAAGGAAGGAAAGAAGGAAGCAAGGAAGGAAAGAAGGAAGCAAGGAAGGAAAGAAGGAAGCAAGGAAGGAAGCAAGGAAGGAAGGAAGGGAGGAAGGAAGGAAGCAAGGGAGGGAGGAAGGAAGGGAGGAAGGAAGCAAGGGAGGGAGGAAGGAAGCAAGGGAGGGAGGAAGGAAGGAAAGAAGGAAGGAAAGAAGGAAAGAAGGAAGGAATGAAGGAAGGAAGGAAGGAAGCAAAGGGAAAGAAGCAAGGAAGGAAAGGGAAAGAAGCAAGGAAGGAAGGGGAAAGAAGCAAGGAAGGAAGGAAGGAAGCAAAGGGAAAGAAGCAAGGAAGGAAAGGGAAAGAAGCAAGGAAGGAAGGAAGGAAGGAAGGAAGGAAGGAAGGAAGGAAGCAAAGGGAAAGAAGCAAGGAAGGAAAGGGAAAGAAGCAAGGAAGGAAGGAAGGAAGGAAGGAAGGAAGGAAGGAAGGAAGCAAAGGGAAAGAAGCAAGGAAGCAAGGAAGGAAGGAAGGAAGGAAGGAAGGAAGGAAGGAAGGAAGGAAGGAAGGGAGGAAGGAAGGAAGGAAGGAAGCAAGGAAGGAAGCAAGGAAGGAAGCAAGGGAGGAAGGAAGGAAGCAAGGAAGGAAGGAAGGAAGCAAGGGAGGGAGGAAGGAAGGAAAGAAGGAAGCAAGGAAGCAAGGAAGGAAGCAAGGAAGGAACGAAGGAAGGAAGGAAGGAAGGAAGGGAGGGAGGAAGGAAGGAAAGAAGGAAGCAAGGAAGGAAAGAAGGAAGCAAGGAAGGAAAGAAGGAAGCAAGGAAGGAAGGAAGGAAGGAAAGAAGCAAAGGAGGAAGGAAGGAAGCAAAGGAGGAAGGAAGGAAGGAAGGAAGCAAGGAAGGAAGGGAGGGAGGAAGGAAGGAAGCAAGGAAGGAAGGGAGGGAGGAAGGAAACAAGGGAGGGAGGAAGGAATTAAGGAAGGAAGGAAGGAAGGAAGCAAAGGAGGAAGGAAGGAAGGAAGCAAGGAAGGAAGGGAAGAAGGAAGGAAGGAAGCAAGGAAGGAAAGAAGGAAGCAAGGAAGGAAAGAAGGAAAGAAGGAATGAAGGAAGGAAGGAAGGAAGGAAGGAAAGGGAAAGAAGCAAGGAAGGAAGGAAGGAAGGAAGGAAGGAAGGAAGGAAGGAAGGAAGGAAGGAAGCAAAGGGAAAGAAGCAAGGAAGCAAGGAAGGAAGGAAGGAAGGAAGGAAGGAAGGAAGGAAGGGAGGAAGGAAGGAAGGAAGGAAGGAAGCAAGGAAGGAAGCAAGGAAGGAAGGGAGGGAAGGAAGGAAGCAAGGGAGGAAGGAAGGAAGCAAGGAAGGAAGGAAGGAAGGAAGCAAGGGAGGGAGGAAGGAAGGAAAGAAGGAAGCAAGGAAGCAAGGAAGGAAGCAAGGAAGGAAGGGAGGAAGGGAGGAAGGAAGGAAGGAAGGAAGGGAGGGAGGAAGGAAGGAAGGAAGGAAGGAAGGAAGGAAGGAAGGAAGGAAGGAAGGAAGGAAGGAAGGAGGGAAGGAAGGAAGGAAGGAAGCAAAGGGAAAGAAGCAAGGAAGGAAAGGGAAAGAAGCAAGGAAGGAAAGGGAAAGAAGGAAGGAAGGAAGGAAGGAAGGAAGGAGGGAAGGAAGGAAGGAAGGAAGCAAAGGGAAAGAAGCAAGGAAGGAAAGGGAAAGAAGCAAGGAAGGAAGGAAGGAAGGAAGGAAGGAAGGAAGGAAGGAAGGAAGGAAGGAAGGAAGGAAGGAAGGAGGGAAGGAAGGAAGGAAGGAGGGAAGGAAGGAAGGAAGCAAAGGGAAAGAAGCAAGGAAGGAAAGGGAAAGAAGCAAGGAAGGAAGGAAGGAAGGAAGGAAGGAAGGAAGGAAGGACTCTACCCACCTCCTTCATCAGCTTCCCAGGAACAGACTTAAAGATTTTTCCTGGAATTAGAATCAAACAGCAGCTTTCAGACCTTCTGCATAAAGATGGACGCCGTGGTTAGAGGAGGAGGGGCAGCTTATAACTGGTTTAAACCGGATCAGGAACAAGCCAAACTAGACTCCGCCCCATTATAGAGCCCTGGGGACCAGGAACCTACCCAGGTTGACGTCCGGCAGCACCTTATCCAGGAACTGGGACTCCAGGCTGAACGGCGACAGGAAGTCAGCCAGCAGCTGGCTGTTACTGAGCTCCGGGTACAGCAGCAGCCTCTGGACACACAAACACACAGAGAACCGGGTCAGGTTCTGGTTCTGCGGGTCAGGTTCTGGTTCCGCCCGCCTCCAGAAGGACGACGTACCCGCAGATATTCCTCGAACTCCTCCCGCTTGGACTCCAGGAAGTCGTAGTTCTTTGGTCCGATGAGGCGTTTGGAGGGAAGCTGAGCGTCTGAGAAGGTTCCTGAAGAAAAAGGAAGAAGGTCAGAAGCTGCAGGTGGAAGGATGGAGATGCTGCTGCTGGATGGTCACCATGGAACTCTGTGAGTTTGGACTCCAGAACGTAGAACTCCAGGTATCTTCTGTAAACCGTCCAGGACTCTGGTTCATGACCGGCTGGAGGAGGAGAGATGATCCGTTAGAAAAGAAGAACCTTGGCGAAGGTCCGGAGGTCCGGTTCCGACTCACCGTTCTTCCGGTCCTTTCTCTCCACGTCGATGCAGAACACGGGGACCTTCTCCCTCTTTACCGGGTCTTCGTAGAAGTCGATGAAGGGCATGGAGACGGTCCAGGCCGCCAGGTTTCTCTGGTTGAGCGGCGTGGCGGTGGGCTCGGCGGGGGCGTCGTCCTCCATGACGATGGTGGCCTCCTCCACCTGCACAGACGGCTCAGATAGCAGAACATCTGCTGCAGCAGGGCAGACTGACGCCAGGCGGGCCGCTCACCGTGTCGTCCTCCGTGTCGCCGGCGGCGCCGGGCGGTAGCAGGGCGCCCTCCATCGTCGTGCTCCTGAACACGCCTTTGATCTTGCTGCCGATCCTGCTGATGCCGAACGGCTCGCCGCGTTTGGAAGCGTTCCTGAACAAGCAGCAGAATGGCGGTTAGAAGCGTCGCAGATGAAGGACCTTCAGCCGGGCCGATCGGAACCAGAGCTGGACTCGCTGAGACAGAAGCTTCCTGGACCTTCAGAACCAGCAGCAGGTTCTGTCCGTGGTACCGAGTTAGAACCGGGGAGCCGCCTGCAGGAGTCCAACACTCACCTGTTCTCCTCACGCTGAAATAAAACCAATGATGCCAGAACCGAGCGTCTGGGTCGGGTTTTTATCCTGGAACCAACCTGTTGATCCTGGAGCTCCTGGTTGGAGATTCGGCTCCTTTCAGCAGGTGTCTGAAGTACTGGGAACCAGAACGGATCCGATCAACAGAACTGTTCACTTTAAGCCCTCTGACCCAAACTGGGACTGAAGGAATAAAATAAGCACATTTTTAGCTAAATCTGGTTCATCTGGAGGGATTCTCCTCGTATGTTAATGGAAAGTTTAGTGGAAGGAAAAAGTGTGTTAATAACCACAGGAGACGCAGCAGGAGGCGATGGATGGACATCAGTTAAAGCTATGGCGGAGGACGTGGATCATCTATATCAGTGGTCCTCATAGCTGTCAATCATTCTGATATTTTAACATCATTGTCCTCGTTTTCTCTTACTGGTGACGAGTCTGACATAGTGGGAAAACTTATTTTGGAAAGTTAGCTTGTATGAGTGATGCTAACAGCAACTATTAAAGAGAGTGTGCACGAGAAGAAATGGGCGACCAAGGCAGCGTTCTGCGGCACACATGGCCTCAGCCCCCCCACCCCCACCATGTATGTGATGGTTTTTACTGAAACTGAAATCTCGATTACAATGGAAATTATAGTTGATAAAAAAGTAATTGATTGATTGATTAGCAGGAGTTCCCTCTTGGCAGCGGGTACAGGGTTGTGCTTTACTATTATTTTTTTTAAGTAAAGAGGGCGGGTCTTTTAATAAATTCATCAACATCCTCCACTATACCTTTAATTATAGGAAGTAGAAACTGTGGATCTTTTTCCTTCCCCATAACTTTCCATGAACATTCCAGGACCGTCCAGCAGCTTCAGGATAAACGCGTTTCCTTCTCTGCGACGTTCTGATTTGCGGAGGTGCTTGATGACCTCAGAGCTGTGACCTCTGGATGGAGGCGTGTTTTTCTTACTTCGTCGCTGTGGCAGAACATGGGCGTGAAAACTCGCTCCAGCAGAGAGAGGACGTGTTCGTACGCCTCAAACAGGCAGGTCATCTTCTGCAGCTTCACCACGTCCTGGTACGGCGCCGCGGCGACTGGAAGCGAGCACAGCAGCATGTCAGCATGGAGCGCTTCCTTCTGGAAGGATCCGCTGCTCAGAGCAAATCATTCATTTAAAAACAAACACTGATTTGTTTTTTTTATCTTTATAGTATTTAAATAAGTTTTCCATCTTTTCTAGAACTTTAATCATTTTTAGTCTTTTCTGGAAGTCTAAATCATTTTTTCTGGTATTTTATTAACCTTTTTTTATTTTTTATTATTATTAGGCATCACTGTGTGCACCAAACCAGTCCAAAGCTCTGGTTTCCTGTATATTTCATTAGAAAGGGATCACTGGGATTACTGGACAGGAAGACACAGAGCAGATGGACGTCCTGAGGAGACTGAGGTCCTTCAACATCTGCAGATGTTCTACCAGTCTGTGGTTTCCAGTGTCCCCATCTACGCCGTGGTGCTGGGGGAGCAGCACCTCCATGAAGGACGCCTCCAGACTGGACCAACTGGGGAGGCCAGCCGGCTCTGTGATTGGCTGGAAGCTGGACCCTGCCAGCTTTTCTTAGCTCTCTACTTTGCAGATATTTTTAGATCTAAGGAAACATTTCAGGATATTACAACTTTTTTATGCTTTTTTGTTCTATATTCAGTCTTTTTATATTGACTGTTGTAGTTTTATGTTTAATGGCGTCTTGCTTTAACTCTTTGTGCTCTATGGAAGCTACTGGAACCAGAATCTCCCTGAAGGAGTAATCCCACAGGATTGATAAAGTTTAGTCTAATGCTACATTCAGACCTCAGGCAGCAGGTTTACATGCTAAGTCGATGGTTGATGCGCATCAAGGTCCATCTGAGGCGCTTCAGAAGCAGCAGCTGCTGCAATAAATGAGCTTTAGCTGCTGGACGCGCCTCATCAACCAATGAGAGGAGCTGATCTGGGAGCTGGCAGGGAGTCAGACGCAGCACTGCTGATGCAGAGCGCTATGATCACTCCCCTGAAACTGTTTATTAACGCCTAAATTAACTTCAAATGTAGAAACCTGCTGACAGAATATGTTGGCTTTTATTATCCTGCTGCCTGCAGTTTGTAGCACAGACCTGAAAAACGCTAACATCTACTTCCAGCCGCCACCAACAGGAGGGGAAAACCCTGGAGAGGCTCTCGGGCCTGAGGCAGCTGCTGCTGGGGATTCCCAGTGACAGCGCAGCGCCGGTATGTGGGGGTCTGAGCGGCTCCCACAGAGAAATAATCTTTGAAGGCAGGATGGTAATCTGGATGAACTGACTGCACAGACCATGTTTTCAGGAGGACTTTCTCACTTCAACATAGATTCTAACTTCTTTCTACCTGCTGATCACAGCTAATATAGCCGCCATTGTTCCAGGCAGAGAAAGGATAGAGTAGCTCCGCCCACCACGCATCAGAACCACTTTACTGCCGCGCAGCTGGAGCAGCAAAGATGCATTTTTCAATTAGATTTTTTTTTCTTTTTAGATCCTTTTCAATGAATCTTTATTGTTTTCTCTCTGGGTGTTTTTTCCAGGTGTGTTTCTCCATCGTTTCCATGGAGACCATCGATAGTTTTAGTAAATCTCCTCGCAGGAGACGTCACCTCATTCACACCGATGGTGGTGAGCTACACTGGAGCCTCCCTCTGACCACCATCGGTAGGCAATGCGGGATAAGTGCCTTGCCCAAGGACACAGTGGCAGTGAAAGCTGGAGGCGGGGTTTAAACCGACAGCCCTCCAGTTGCAGGTCAAACTCCTGCAGCCCTATAATAGTTAAGAATATATGTTTAACTGATAAAGGATCTAAATGTTCTGATCAGAACCGGTTCTATTGGACCTCAGACCCAGACTGAGCTCCCTGGATGTTCTAATGCAGGAGAAGGTTCGGGCACCGTTGTGGATCTCCTCCACGATGAGCGGGTCGAAGCTGATCTTGTCGATGCTCTCCTCCAGGCAGTAGGTCTGGTAGATGTGGACCACCTCGCCGTGCAGACGCTGCAGCTCCGAGTCGCTCAGCTCCGGACTCAGGATCTTATCGTTCAGCTCCTCTGGAACACGGAGGTTCTGAAGGTTAAACCGGATCCGAGATCCGGCGGATCGGAGTACGGCGGCGAGTTCCGGATCTTACCCACAGCCAGGCAGAACTGCAGCACGTGAACGGCTCCTTCCTGCTTCAGGAAGTTCAGGAACCGGAAGAGGAGATCCTGCTGCTCCCTGATCTCCTTCAGCTCCAGCTTCAGCACCTGGAGGGAGGGGGGGAGGGGCTTCAGCGAGCAGATTAAACCCCGCCTCTCTGATGGTAGAAGGTCAAACTCACAGACGGCTTCTTGTTGCTGATGCTGGTGTATTTCTGCAGGAAGGGAACCAGCGCAGACGGAGGCTCTGTAGCTTCTTCTGGCTGCAGATGGAGAACATCTGGATGAATCTGTCCTACCGTGAGGGGGAGGAGCTTAGCGCCAGCAGCCATCCACACACTAAGCTTACCGGGTTGTTGTCCAGGAAGATGAGCACCATGAGGTTGACGGTGTCCTAAACAGGAAGAGGTGGATGTTAGGAACCCTGGAAGATCTTTACCGCCTGGATGATCAGTTTAAAGCCCTAAGATAAACCAACAGCTCCGCTTTAAACACGCCGCACAAACATTTACGGAATTTTAGCTAAATATTATCAACATAAAATGAGCCTCATTTTATATCTTTAGAAAAACAGATGTTAAAATGATTGGTTACCATAGAAACCGACTAATAAAGCAATCAAACAATGACTTCATCATTTACGTGAATCCGGCCTCCAGGTGGGTTTTTATTTTTATTTTGTCCTCTAGTATAAAATCAAACCTTAATTTTTAAAAACTTGCATGTTTTTTAACACCAGTCAATAAAAAACCAACAGAAAGCTTCTCTGTGACCTCAGAGGTTCTGATCCGTCTCTGGTTGGGTCATGTGACCCAGAGCGCCGCTTCCTGTCAGTCTGAGCTAAGCTAACAGCTGTTAGCTCTGAGCCTCAGCTCACCCAGAGGAAGTCCAGGATTCTAGACCCGCTGGTCCAAACTGGTCCGATACCAGAACACGGACTGGTTCATTTAGGGACAGAGCAGTGCTGCAACGGGGCCCTGAGTGGCCCCTGAGCCACAGTGGAGGTGAAGCATCGACCCGTCCGCCTCCTTTACTTACCGGGTCGGCCATGAAGTCCATAGTCGGCAGGAGGACGGATCCGGCCATCACTTCCCGAAGCAGCAGAGCCAGAGACCTGGAGCAGGAACAGAAGCTGGATCAGAACCTTGCTGGACCCGTCTGGGTTCGGTACCTGGTTCTGGAGACGTCACCTGCAGTCGGTGGCTTTGGGAGGCATGACGTAGGAGAAGAGCATCTCTGTCAGCTTCCTCAGGTACAGCAGTTCGTCCCTCCGGCTGTGCAGGGCGGCGTGGAGGTCGGCGCCGTATTCCTCCAGAGCCGCTTCCTGGAGGTCCTCCATGTTCTTCACTGAACACAGGAACCCAAAGAACGGCCCCGTTAACGCCTGCGGGGTCCCATTACAGACCTTCCTCTGTGACTGATCAGCAGCTCTGATCTCTTTACCTTTGGCTGCAGCTTTAGACAGAATCTCCATGTGCTTCATCAGAACCTTCATCACTTTGTCTGCAAACACAGACGGGAAATCCACCTGAAAACAAGCAGAAAACTTTGGTTAGAAAACAAAATATAGAATTATCTCCAACATCATGGCCCCTGATCACCCTGGCCCCCGTTGCCCGCGGCCCCTGATCACCCTGGCCCCCGTTCATCACGGCCCCTGTTCACTCTGGCCCCTGTTCACAGCGGCCCCCGTTCTGCGCGGCCCCTGTTCACCCTGGCCCCTGTTTATCGCGGCCCCCATTCATCGTGGCCCCCGTTTACCCTGGCCCCGGCGGTTCACCGCGGCCCCTGTTCACTCTGGCCCCTGTTCATCGCGGCCCCCGTTCATCGCGGCCGCCGTTCACCCTGGCCCTTGTTCTCTGTGGCCCCTGATCATCGCGGTCTCCGTATATCCTGGCCCCTGTTCACAGCGGCCCAGTTCACCCTGGCCCCTGTTCATCGCGGCCCCCGTTCACAGCAACCCCCGTTCATCGCGGCCCCCGTTTACCCTGGCCCTTGTTCTCTGTGGCCCCTGTTCATCGCGGCCGCCGTTCACCCTGGCCCCCGTTCCCCTCTTCATCGCGGCCCCTGTTCAACGTGGCCCCCGTTCATCCTGGCCCCTGATCATCGTGGCCCCCGTTCCCCGCGGCCCCTGTTCACCCTGGCCCCCGTTCCCCGCGGCCCCTCTTCATCGCGGCCCCTGTTCAACGTGGCCCCCGTTCACCCTGGCCCCCGTTCCCCTCTTCATCGCGGCCCCTGTTCAACGTGGCCCCCGTTCATCCTGGCCCCTGTTCAACGTGGCCCCCGTTCATCCTGGCCCCTGATCATCGTGGTCCCCGTTCATAGGGGCCCCTGTCCCCCTAATGCTTCCTGACCTTCTGGGCTCTGCGGATCAGCACCGATGCAAAGAAGCGAAAAGTCATCCTGACTTCATCCAGACAGGCTTCATCCTCGGTGATGTCCCTGAAAGCAGAGCAGGAAGTTAAAGGAAGCTCCGCCCACCTGCCTGCGTGACGCCGGAACCTTTGACCTCTCACCTGTACCAGGGGTGCACAAACGTTTCCAGAGCCAGCTCAAACACCTGCAGACAGGACAGGTGAGAACGCCATCAGCATGAATGGGATCAGACCCGAGCCGGGCTCCTTACCTCCGCCACCGCGGCGTCCACCTTGGAGGGAACCTTCAGGTCCAACCAGGGCTGGTGGTTCTCCAGGAGCAGAGTGGGCCTGAAGCAGACAGACAGTTATTACACACCTGAGAACCTGCTGACTCTGACACCCCAAATAAAATCTATGCTGACATCAGGAACACCACACGGCGGTGGCAGCATCATGCTATGGGACGGCAGAGAAGATGGAAGGAGCTAAATTAGTACAAAAATCCTAAATACCCAGAGGTCTAATGGAGGGGTTGGATGAACGGCCTAGTCAAAGTCCGGACCTGAAACCCTCTTTAAGGAGAAGCTGATGTTGGAGATGCAGGAGACGTTTAACGAGGAGCAGAAGGAGGTTCTACAGAGTTCTGACCCGGCCCGCCTGAACAGCAAAGTTTTAGCACTGTGAAAACTTCCGTGACTCACCGGTGTCGTTTGCATCTGATCTTCCCACAGACGGCGCAGCTGTGGCCCAGAGGGAAGAGCTCGGCTTCCTGGCGCTGTGGGACACAGAGACAGTCAGAAGACCCGGAGGTTCTGAAGCAGGCGGAGAAGCGGAGAGCGTCCCACCTTGTTCCTGGGTTTGATGGGGAACAGGAAGCTGGGAACCAGCGAGTCCGGTCTGAGCGAGCAGTAGAAGGTGAAGATCCCGGCCAGCAGCGACCAGAACACCATCAGGACGTGGAGGTACCTGCAGGGACGGGATTCACCCTCAGGAAATACTAGGCAGCTGCCTGGGGCCCCAACTTCCTGGGGGGCCCGGAAAACTCTGTTTCCATGTATGGTTAATACAACTATTCCTTATTTCTGCAATGCAATCAGAACGCTGATAATATGAAGTGTATCTCAGCCCCCCTTAAAGTGCTGCGTTCACTATTTCTATGAAACTTATAAGAAAAATTGACTTATTTGCTTAGACTGACATTTTTTGCAGTGTAATAAAACAGGATCAAAGGATTAACTCGTTTTTTAGATTCACCACATAAACAGATTTTTAACTAAAACAGGCGGGTTCTTCTTCTTCTTCTTCTTATGGGATTTTATGGCGGTTGGCAGACTTGTGAATTGTGCATTACCGCCACCAACTGATATGGAGTAAAGCAAGAAAACAGGAAACGATTCACCCCCCCAAAAAAAAAAAAAAAAAAAAAAAAAAAAAAAAAAAAAAAAAAACCTGTGTAACTTAAACCAACATAATACTAAATCACATTTGCCCATATAATTTTAATTTACTCTAGGTCAGGCGGGTTCTTCTTTGACCCTGCCAAACGGAACCGGGTCACGTGACCCTGCAGGGGATCAGCCACCTTCATCCTCCTCCTCCTCCTCCTCACCTGTTGAGCAGCACAGTGAGCGCCAGCAGCGCCACCATCAGGCAGCAGGTCAGCGGGTACTGCCGGCCTGCCTCCCTCAGGACCTCCACCTTCACGCCCCGCAGCAGCTCCTCCATGCGGCGCCTCCAGGCCGCCATCCCGGCGGAGCAAACACCGGAAAAACGCCTCTAAGCGGGACCTTCAGGGGCCATGATCCCCAGGCTGAGAAATAAAAGCCGGTTCATCCGGAAGCGCTCGGTTAGTCGGTCCCGGTTCTGGTCCCGGTTCGGGTTCTGGTTCTCCTGCAGCTTTAGTCCAAACTTTGCTTCCGGTTGGAGACTTCTCCGGGTCGGAGCCACTTCCTCTCCGGCAGGGCGCTTTAATCCCACAGCGGGTTGCCAGGTCCGACAGAAAGACGCAGAGCTTCTGATGTTTGATCCTTCTTCACTTTCTGGGAAATGATTGAAGTTTTTATTTCATATTTTATAAGATCTGGTTTGTTTTCTCCTTCCAGGATAACTGAGCTCTAAAACATGGAGTCTCTCCTGCTTCCTGCAGCTGCCTGAACTGTGCTGCGTTCACGGACCGCCACATAAACCCGCCGCTCCACACCGGAAGCTTCCTTCACCTTTACCGACGCGGCCAGGTGTAAAATGCTGACGTCATCAGTTATGGCCGCTAAGCAGAGCGTATTCCTGCCCCAACATGGCAACCCACATTCCAAACATCCCCACTTCCGGTTAAACGATCGTTTGTTTTGGTGCGAAGCAGCCCAGAGCATTACTCCGCCTCCACTGTGGCTGCCTGTCAGGGGGAACCTCTGGTTCTGTTAGTCACGGGTCACCAATTAGAAACCAGCGGGTCCGAATAAAGAAAACCAGCAACCAGTAAAGGTCTGGAGACATTTTTAATGATCTGTTACTTTAACACTGAAATAAAATGAGGGTTTTTTAATGCATCCATGTTATAGGTTTAATTTTTAAAGAAAAAAAAAAAGAAACTTTTTCCATTTAAAATCTAAATAGTATTTGAAGTAGAGAACAGCAATCATTCAGTTTGGTTTATTGATAATTTCCCATATTTTCTCAAACCCCTGAACTGATGGTTTGTTATTTTCTTTCTTTTTTCTGTCTTAATGTTGGCAGTGGGCTTTAGGCTGCCCTGCGAGGCTTTAAACCTGGGTTTAACCGGAGACTAAGCCATTCTCAAGCACATATCAAGGAGCTCATTTTGAGCCTGGATCCAGATTTATTGTTGATTCTGTTCATGGTGGAGAATCCTGCTTCACAGCAGCAGGTTGAGCCAAACATCCTCTAAATGTGCAGGGTCATCTTTGAGCACCATTTCACTTTTCTTTCACCAGTTCACCGCAGTTCTTCCAGCAGTCCACACTTTCTCTGCTCTCTTTTTCTCATGGTCTTCTCCTTCTTTCCCATCGCCCGGCTTGCCACAGGTTTGCCTGCTGTGTCTAAAAGCAGCAGCAGCAGCAACCCAGACTGACAGCTCATTGGCTCATTGGGATCACGTGCAGCCTGGAGCCGGACGCTCCCCAGGGCTTTACCGTATTAACAGGAGAAGAGGCGCAAGGGAAATTGGACACTGTTTCTGGACAACATTCAGTAATTTATAAATGATTTAAATCAGGTTGGGTCTGGATTAGCCGGCAGGTGGATCCGAATCGCTAATCCGTCACCTCTGGTTTAGTGGAACCGAAAGGGGTTCCGGGGGCTTGTTTTGGATCCCTCCCATGGAGGCCTCTGGTTTCTCATTCAACCATGACCTTTGATCCTGTGGTTCTGGGCCCTCCTGGAGTCTGTTTACCCGAGCGGTTCTCCTCTGATCCGTTCTCGCTGTGTTTCTCCGGAACCCTTTAGAAATCAGGAGCCGTTCCGGCAGATCGACGAATTTTATTTCTCATTTAATGAGGAACAACTTCCCACCTACTTCCTGTAGCCAGACGGGTTCTGTTCAAGTGATTTATCAGTTTATTCTAATAAATAAAATGTTTTGGATCTCAAATTCAGTAACAAAATTATATCAAACATCAATAAAAAATGTTCCCTCTCCCAGGTAAGAGGAACTTCTCTTTAAACGTGTTTTCAGAAATTAACCCTTTATAGGGCCTCAGTGAAATACTTTGAAAATCCAGATTTAATCCAAGACCTTATTACCTTTATATAGATTTTTTATTTATTTTTCTTTTATTAATGTCAACATAATAACAAGAAACACCAATTTTCCCGAATATATTGAGAAAAATAAAAGTGCTTCTAGAAGAAATTCATGAAAAACAATTAAAGAAACACATTTTTTGGTCCAAGATCACTTTAGATGCATTAATGTTGATACTGGAACGTAGGTTTTAGTTTAGAAACCTAAATATAATTATTAACTAGACTTATTAACTTATTAATTAGCTTTTTACCATTACTTACTGGGGGTGGGCAACATTTTTAAGGGGTATGAAAGGGATTAAAATGTGTAATTTGCCCTTTAAAAGGTTTTCTAATTTCCTGTTTTATCAAAGATGAAAGCAGTTCATTTTAAAACTATAAATAATATCTATCCCTCTGCAGATTTCTGAAAATTTAAATCTAATCACAACGATCTATAATCACCAGAATGTGTTTTTTTTAAAGGTTTTTATGTGGTTATTATTATTGGTTATCAACAAAAAATTGTGAATCCTAATTTAAATATAAAGGAGTAAAATTAGGATGAACTTTTCAGGACAAAATGTGGATTTTTTATTCAAAGGTGCAGATTCTTTAGTTTCTCTGAATCTCAAAGCTTCCGACGTGATTTTAAGTTTTCAAACCTCAATAAGCCTTAAAGTTTATTTCACTTTAGCTAAACCTGTTTTAATTTTCATTTATATTCTTTTAATCAGTTTAAGTTTATATTGTTTTGTCTGATAAAAACTGTTATGGATGGAATATGTTAAACTGTACTTTTCCCATTTTAAAATTATTTAATAAATCTGTTTTATAAAAATGTGAATTTGTTGCTAAAAGATCAAATCTAAACTCTTCTTTCAAACTGAAATCAGTCCATATTTCTGTAAATGTGTGAAACTAAAGGATCGAGTGAGAAAAGCAGCCGGTTGAAGGTTAACGAGTTTATTAGAAAAATAAGTTTAGGTTTAGGCGGCTGTACAGTATAAAACATTTCCTCTGCAGGAGCTCAGAGCAGATCCAGCAACAGCTTCCTGTTTTAAAGCACTTAAAGGAGAAGCTAACATGCTGTGTTCTACTACAACTCCCAGAATGCCTTTCAGCGCCTCACAGACGGCTCCTTAATCCGAGCCAACGGAGCCAGGACCGCTGCGGCGGACCTTTTACGGATCGGATATTCCCAAAGCAGAACGTTTCTGAGGCCGTTAGCGTCGGATCTGGACTCGGGTCCAGAACCGGGTCCAGAACCGAGTCCAGATCCCAGGCTGAGGTTCTGTCAGGCATGCTGGGAGGTCTGCTGGTGGAACACAGAACATCAGAGCAGAACCAGAACCTGAGGCTACTGGGTTTAAACAGATGAGTTTCTGATGGGAACCGAGGTTCTGCTGGATCATCAGGCTCCGTCTGTTCACACCCACCAGAACATCAGCGTGCGAACCGGGCCTAATCAGAACCCAGTGAGGAACTGGGGGGGTGTGGAGAACTGTTAACCTTCCATCAGGGCGGTTCCAGCTCCGGTTCCCACCTGTGATCCAGTTCTGTTTGGCTCGGCTGATCCAGAACTCAACCAGGTCAGAACTGGTTCCAGGAGGTTCAGACCACATCAGCGTCAGGCTCTGAGTTCTGGTCCAAACAGAACTTTAAGGTTCTGCTTCGACTCAGAGTTCTTCCAAAGGTTCTGCTAACCTGCTGGGGGTCAGCAGAACCCGAGCGGGACCCAGATTGGATCATCAGGAGGAACCGCCCTCAGAATCAAACATTATTGGACTTGTAGCACCGGGCCCACGGCAGCAGAACGACGGTCCGGTCCAGTACCGACCCGTTTCATTCAACACAGATGAAGGGAAAGAAAAGTGGCGTCCTGAGTTTTTAGGAAGCGTCAGCTTCCATCACTCTGACGAACCGACAGGTTCTGCTTGGTTCTGGGCGCTCAGAACCAGACAACCCAGTCGGTTCTGGAGCGGAAGACTGAGGGTCATTTTAGCAGCTCTTCTGTTCAAGGTTCTGTTGAGGCCCGGTTAGAGAGGAGCAGCAGCCTGGATCCCGCCTCCCTCCCTCCCTCCCTCCCTTCACACTGAGGTAGTTAAACCCGCTCTGCTGGAAGGCCCCGTCTCCGGCGCCGGGTTCTGATGATCCGAGTCCAACTCCAGAACAGAACAGAGTTCAAGGCTCCAAACAGAAACAGATTCATCCAGAAGAATCCGGGCTCAGGTGGATCCGAGTGTCCCTCCCTCTGCTCCTCGGCGAGGCCGGATCCCCATCGGACCGCGCAGTCAGCTGACCTTACCGTTTCCTCCAGCGGGCGGGGCCGTGCCGGTCCTCATAGCAACACGTCGGCGGCGGCCTCCACGCCTTTCTCCTGCTAGTCGGGGTAACAAAAGGCAGCAGTTAGAGACGGAAGACGGGAGCGGCGCCGCACGCGTCCGCACATGCAGAACCGTCCGGAAACCGGAGCGCCACGCACACAGGGAGGGGAGGAAAGCGGTGAGCAGCCCTAGAGCTAGACCAGACAGATGCGCCAGGGGGGGGGGGGGGGGGGGGGTGAGTCATGCAAAGCAGCTAAACAACACAGGAGGCGCATGCAGGGTTAGAGTCCAGGGCGGGAAATCAACAGCAGGAAAGATCCTTCTGGGACAAGAAAAGCTTCGCCTCAAACATCAAACCAGATTCTGCTCTAACCCCCCCACCCCCCCACAGTGATGTAAAGAACTGGGGGCTTACGCTTGATGCTGCGTCCAGTGAATTTAGGACACCAAATTTGTGAGACATTAATGTTTCTGGACATGATAAGAATGGAGTGACTACACAGAGAGGCATGCAGGGTGACGCCGCGTCCGCAAACCTTCAGTCCTTCTCTTCCTCAAGGAGCCTTTCAATTTCAAGGAAATTTGAAGAGAGAATTTGGCCAAACATGACTTTTCAACACAATTTGAAGTTTTTTGTTGTTTTTTTTCTTACACGAGTGCGTGTACGTTTATTAAAGCAGACAAACAGCAAAGAATACAAGCCAAAAAAAATAAAAAATAGGACGGCTCTCTGTTACCCGGACGACACAGATCCTCATTTCATGGCGTGGAAGTACAGGTTTAGGACACATTATGTTGCCGTTAGCAACGTCAAACATGGAACCAGGATGTGTAAAAACATACAGAAAGCTTTAGCCAAATAGACAGCTAGCTGCAGCACAAACCTGCCTCTAAAAACAGGGGAGAAGAAGAGCAGTTCGCCAGAAACAGGTGGGGGTGGGGTTACGTTTGGAGTCCAAGCGGGTTTTTTTGTTTTTTTTGGTTTTATGTACAGAGATCTTGCCAGTTGTCACCAATTTGGAGGGAAAAAATGCAGCGTGCGACTGAGCGCCAATCAGATCAAGTCTTTAAAGCAAAAGAGAAAAATCAGGATGTTTGTTATTTTAGATCGAAGCCCTACTGCTTTACTTCCACTGCTGCCCAAAAGAATCCTGATAAAATTCCTGGTTGTCAGATTTGTAACCGGAATAGTTACCAGAATGATCACCACCTTGGAGCGGTTGCTGAGCAATGGGTTGCGAGCCCCAGTTCTGATTCTGGGTCTGGCGGCGCTTGGAATCTGGCTGGTTGTAGCCATCAGCTTTGCGCTTTCCTCCTACATTTCCACCGCGGCCGCCCCGCGCACCACGTACCCCTCCTCGCCCTCTTGGCGGCACGCCTCCTCTTGATCTGCGTCCTCCACGGCCCAATCCGGGCACGCCGCCGCCGCGCTGCGAGAAGCTGGCTCTGCCTCTGGGCGCGCCGGCCCCACCGCGGCCCCTCACCGGGGAGGCTCCGCCCCTGGGCCCCCGGCTGGCTCCCCGCCCCCGCCCCGGGGTCTGGAAGTCATCGTAGCCGTAGTAGGGGTCGTCGTAGCCGCCACGGTAGTTGTGGTAGTCGTAGCCGTAGTAATCGTAGTAGTCGTCGTAGCTGTAGTAATCCTGAGGGTAACCGTAGCCGCCCCGGTTGCCCCCTCGGCCCCGCCCCCTGGTGGGAGGAGCCATGTGAGGAGGAGGGTAGTAGTAATAATCATCGTACCTGCAGGAGGGAGAACAGAGCGTGTTAGCTGCTGTTGATGAACTAATCCACCTGCTGGGGCCTGCGGAGCGCCGCGGGCGGCCATGTTGGCTCAGCATCAGGGCTGTTAACAGCCACAGACATAACATCAACCGCCTTCCCCTGTGGGCAGACATTGGTGACGCCATCTTGGGGAGGTCACAGCTGGGCTCTGTGAAATGTGCTCAGCAGGAACAGAATCAACTTTAACTTTCTGAATATTAAACAAACAAATGATTCAGTTTATTTAAATATTCTAAGTGGGTTAAGAGTAATAAAATGGTCTGATAAGATGGATGCATGTTGCAAAGCACAAACACTCATACATTTTTATAATTTCTTCATATAAACATACACATATCTCTCAATACATATATATATATATATCTGTATAACTATACCGTAAAAATGTTGGAAGCTGTATATTGATGATCTGTTCTTTAGAAGCACAGTATTTGTATTTGTTAAAACACTGTTCAGAACATTATTTTATTTTTTTAATTTATTTTATGTGAATGTTATTTTCTCTCATGTTTTAGCTGTTTTGCTTCTTTATTTACACTGTTTTATGTTCTACTTATTTGTTTTTTACAGCATCTGGTCAGCTGAGGCTGTTTTTGAAGAAATAAAATTGGATTGGACATTTTTTTTATATTCTGTCACTTATTCTATTATTTTTCTACATTTTTTAAGCCCCCCCCCCACCAAAATCATTTTGGCCTGTGAGTGGTCTAACCTCAATTTATGCCCCAGGCATGCGGGCCAATCACAACGCAGAGATGCGTTTTGAATGTCTGGATTCAAAGTGGGCGGGGTTTGAGGGCGGGACGACAAAGCTGCAGGACGCTGGAGAAAACACAATAAGGAAGATGGCAGCAACTATGGAACAGCAGCATGATGCAGCAGCCGCCTTCAATGGAGCGCTGCATTGAAAGTTAAAAGTTCTCTTTTCTGTTGTTCAATAAAGTTTTAAGATAATTAGAGGCGAGAATATTTTACTTTAAAGCGTCACTATATGATCCATTTACCGATTTAATGTGGAATTACAAAAACAATTTCCGAGGTTGAGAGGACTGTGGTAACCAGCGGAGCTCCGAGGCTAACGTTAGCCCGTCTGCAGCGGCCCTCTCTCTGAAGGACCGCTGGCTCTGATGGCGAGTTTTGACTCAGCTTTGGAATCAGTTATGGAAGGATCAGACTTTGGGTTTTCATTGAGCAGGAAGAGGCTCTACGCTCGTTCATTTTTAAGAAGGACGTATTCGCTGTTTTACCAACAGGCTGTTTGTTTACACCCCCCCACCAGCTTCCTGTGGCGCTTCCTACGTCACAGTCAGTGGCTCTCATTGGTCAGAGCGTTGGCCAATAGGCACAGACATGGTTTGAAAAACAACGGGTTGTTCTCATCAGCAATCTTCCGATGTCTCATTCATCGGGGTCAGACTAAATTACACATTTAATCTCACATTTAGTCTGGATTATCAGGCTACAATTTTCCCACCTTTGGAAAATAAAGGGAGGTTCTATTCTATGTAGTGTATATCTGCATTTTATTCAGTAATGTCTTTAAAGCTGTGATGCCTTCATGTAGTTCGCCCTCAAGCCCTGATGTTAGCAGTCTGTTGATTTAAACAAAAATACGCCGCACAGCGCTGAGGCATCCTTCTGCAGGTTGGGTAGCAGGTCGACCTCCCCAAGATGGCGCCCTTAGTTTCTGCGCTGTGAAAGTCAATGCAGGGTCTACTCTTACATATGTGTGTGTGGTTCACAGGTCAGCTAACCAGTCCTGCAGCTAGCTGGACTCAGAGGCTAACTGAGGTAGCTCTATGCTAAAGCTCAGCGCCCCCTAGAGGAGGCCTGAATTAAAGCGGAGGGAAGCGCTTACATCTGAGACTTGGCTGCTTGTCGCTGGGCTTTCCGCTCCTTCCGCTTCTGGTCGGGGGGTTTGGCGAAAACGATTTCTATGGGCTCCCCCTCCAGCTGCCGGCCGTTCATCTCCTCCAGAGCCTGCAGGCAGAGCAGAGCTTCAGCCGACGGCCGAGCAGAGAGACCAGGGCTGACCTGAGCCCGGCCTCCGTACCTTCACCGCTCCGTCACGCTCCTCAAAGTGGATGAAGGCGTAGTCTTTCAGCTTCTTCACTCGCTCCAGCTTCCCAAACTGGCTGAAGGACTTCTCCAGGATCTCCTCTGTGACGCCGTTGGCCAGGTTCCTCACGAATAGGACCTTCACCTGCACAGAGAAGTTTGGACTGTCAGTCCGTCCGCTGAGTTTCACTCCACATCTGGATTCCCGCTCATTAAAACCCAACAAGGTTAAAGCAGGGGGCGGTTCTGGCCATGTGGGCCGCTACCAGGTCCAGCTGGAAGAACTGTTTCCATCTTCTTTATCCTTCCACTCGATTTTCCAGGAATCTGCCTGGATACAGGCCTGTGACCTTTTTAAAGGTCGCAGCTACAGCGTTTCCATCAAAAACCATCCAGAGAAAAAAACATGGATAAAATAAATATGGCAGTTTTTTATTGAAGAACATCAAAGCATCATAGTGGAGGACGTGGATCATCTCAATCACTGGTCCTCCTAACTGTCAATCATTCTGGTGAGATGGTTCTGTGAGGCCGTCCTTCGTGCTCGTCACCATTTTCACTAACCGCTGGTGAGTCTGACATGGTGCAAAAACTGCAAATCTTCTTTTGGAAAGTGAGCTTGTCTGAGCGATGCAAACAGCAGCTTTAAAGCAGAGCGTGCACGAGAGGAAATGGGCTCGTGCACGCTCTCGCACGCGTTTAATAGGCGTTCCCTCTCTGGAGTGGGTACATGGATGTGCATATGCATTTTTTTTAAAAGGAAAACGTGGACCATCAGCTTGTAGTGGCAGAGGGAACAGCTCACCGACGCGTGTCTACCCGGGTCAAACGACTTGGACAGCGACCCGCGTTAAAATCTCTGATCGGATTGCTGTGGGAACACCAGAGCTGGGTCGACCCGCTAAATTACGTGATACCACTGAACGCAGCGGATGGACGCCATCACACTGCGCCAGTCGCTTCTGATCTAACAAGCAGAAACACGATAAACATGGAGCAGCTCTGGTGAGACAGATAATAGAGAGAAACAGTAACACTCACTGACTACGCCCTGGCTTCCTTCCATGCTGCTCTCCATTCTTCACTTCCCTGATTTCTGTCACACTGATGACATCATCAATGCTAAACCAGTGTGATGATGTCACCAGACATGCAGCTGCGGGGGCAGAGGCCAGGCAGCTGCCAGCGAGGGCTTAGACCAGCTTAAGGCGGATTGTTAGCGGATGGACACATGTTTGCAGCTATTGGTTCTAATCGCTGCGTATTTGCTGTGCAGTTTGCAGCTGATCATTTGCCCGTGTTGCTAAGATTCTAGCGACTCTTTTCCTGTATAAATGGAGACTTTGGCGAAGGAAAAGCGGACTGAGGCGGATGAATCGATTAACAGGTTTTTCTGCCATTTAGGCAACAGAACCTCCAGCTGTGGATGGATTTTCTTCCCACCTTGGCCATGACCTCTGGGTCGGGGTCCTCGATGGGGTCGGCCCACTCCACCGTCACCAGGTTGCTCCAGACCTTGACCTTGCCGCTCATCAGCCGGCGACGCGCCTGAGCAGCGGTTTTGTGGTCTTCGTATTCCAGGAAGCAGAAGCCTCGGTTTTTCTTCTTGTCGTCGGGTTGGTGGTACAGTATGACATCACTGAGCCCCTCTGCGGAACCACAGGAGACCCAGAGGAGGGGTTGGGTTAAAGCCATGGGGGAGGGGGGAGGCAGCAGAGCAGAAGGAGAGCTTTACCTGTGACTTTAGAAAACTCTTCCACTATCTGCTCCTTGGTTTTACTCTTGGGAATTGAACCGACAAACAGCCTGTTGTTGGCCACAGAGATGCACACGCCAATGTGTTTGCCCGGCCGGATCTCATAGTTGTTGCACTGAAAAACAGAGAACAGCTTTCAGAACCGATCCAAGCCCTGCGTGCATCCTGAGATGATGTCATTTCCCCCTCAGACCCACCAGCTTCACCGCCTCCTGGGCGGAGTCCTTGGCGCAGAACGTGACGAAGGCGTAGCCCCGGTTCAGGCTGCTCAGAGGATCCATCATCAGGCGCAGGTCCCAGATCGGCCCGGCTTTCTCAAAGAGAGGAACCAGCTCGTCTTCGAACAAGTCCCGTGGGATCTTCCCGACAAAAATCTGCAGAGAGAAGGAGGAACGTTCCGAAAACTGTCGGTGGAATCACAGGAAGGACGGCTTCTCTGACGTTAGCAAATACACCAGGCTTTTATTTTGAAAGGCGGTGATGTGAAACAGCAGCTGGGTGTGGAGAGGATTTTCATCCATTATTGTTGCAAGCAGAGAAAACAATTAGTAAAAAAATCAGTAAATTAAAATTGAAACAAAAAGCTATTTAGAAATGAAACTTCTGTTACTTTGCTGTTTTCTCAGCTTGAAATGTTTCAAGTTTATTTTTCAAATTTTAATGAAACCTTTTTCAACAGGTTTTACACCTTTACTTTTTCAAGAAATATTTTTATTTACAGATGTTTTATTTCTGTTTTTCAGATTAAGTTTTAAATCTGCATTATTTTCAAATAGTTTTTTTGTTTTCTTCTGGAGCAAAGATGCATTTGTGTTGGTCTGCAGGACGCTAGCAGCGTTTTGATTGGCCGAGAGTCCGTCTCTATCTGGATGTAAGTGAAGAGAATCTGATGTAGAAAAGTTTGAAAAGAATGCAAATCGGAAAACTCAACCTGCAACAGACAAATAATAGTAAATATTAAATCTGTAAAATTATTTATTTACAGAATAATTCATTAATTTGAAACTAAAATTTGAACCCATAAAATCTGCAAAAAATTTGATTAGAAAAAAATTTAATTTGAAATATTTAAATATGAAAAATAAACTTGAATGTTTTTTTACTCTCCAACCCTTTTAGCAACAGTGAAGGAAGCGAGTTCCTCCGGTTGGTCCCTGGTACCTCAGTGCCCACGGGTGGCTGCGGTCCTGAGTACACGGACTCCGGCGGCGGGCCGCCGTACTTCCGCTGACCCGTTGTTACGTCCAGAGTGTAGGTGGTTCTTTCCAGCAGCTCTTTGATCTTGGCCTCGTCGGGTCCTTTAGTGGCAGGAGACACCTTGGTCCCCTGCTTCTCTCGCTGCCTGTAGGTCTTCATCACCCCACAGAGGAAGGCACTTTTATTCTGGGACGGACAGAGGAGACAGAGGTCCCAGGCTGCTCTCTGAAAACATCTGCAGAAGCTCCGCCTCTCGGAGGAGGGAACTCACCTGAACGTGGGACAGATCACTTTCCTTGAACTGGACCAGCACCTGGAGGGCCCCATCTTCATTAAACTCCTTCAAAGCTTCAAGGGCCCTTTCATCGAGGTCGCTGTGAGCCACCAGGCCTGCAGGAGGACGAGCAGAGAGTAAAATAACTGCTTTTCAACCACTAAACAGATCAGCCGGCAGCCATGACGGTAACGCCGTTAACGATTTATCGGATTACAGATAACAGCCCGGAATATAGTATTATTATTTTTCAGTGAATGCAGTAGTAATAGGAATAGGTGGAGTACAACTTTTCTACTTCTGTAATTTGTTGTTTCTCAAATAAATGCATAACAATATTACAGCTTTCATTGATTTATTTCAATTTGAAACATTGTCTAGCCTGTAAGTTAAAAAAAAATGAACCAATTAATCAAATCGAATCGTTGGGTCAGGAAATCGATACTGAATGGAATCGCCATGATGGATGTGATTTACACCCCTATATCCTACAGAAGCGGCTAACACAGGTTTAGGCTTACCTGCTATATATAGATCATCTAGTTTCTCAGCGACGCTCTGAGACAAACCAGCGTCCAACAGAGCCTGGAAATGTTCTGATCGGGTCACTGCAGCTGATGTTTCCATGGGCTCCTCGGTGCCGTTCCCGTTCACCTGGTCCTGATCCGCCTCCATGTCTGCAGACATCTGAGAACAGAGTTTGAAGGTGTCATTAAATGGCCCTCCCTTCTTAGAGTGAAGGTTGGGATGGTTAGGCTCCATCTGACTGGTACTGGATCGGTTTAAATGGATGGTAAAATGGTAAAGATCAATAGTAAAACGCTGAGCAGTTAAAGTTCGGTCTCCAACTCTCTGGGGTCACCGGCTGCTCTTCTGGATCAGAACCAGGATCAGAACCCGGTTCCCCAGGTAACAGTCAAAGATTTAAACCGCTAAACCTCCAGTTTACTAAAGTGATTAAACCTTTGGCATCCATCGCTACCAAAGTTCTCTCTGAATCAGAATCTGGGTTCTGATGAGGCCCGTTTCAACCATTCAAATTACCTTTAAAGCAGGTTCATACACACTGTTTATTAAGTTTCTATTTGTATTTTATTGCTCTGCTGTAATACTGGAAACTGAAATGTGGTTTTTATATCTGGTCTAAACAGGAAATCATAATTTTTTATCAGAAGTAAATGTTTAAAACGTTTAATTATCTTTCCTTACGCAATGAATTAAGAATTAACGGGATTCTCCTAAGTAAGGGCGTGTCATATGGAGCTAAAATATGATCACAATATTTCATTATCTGGAAAACAGATTAGAGAATATAAAATGTCCCCCAAAAAATTAAAGAATTAAATAAGAAAAAAAACATTGATTTAAAAAGTTTATCAGAAAACCCTTTTTTCTTTCAAAAATATTTAGCCAAAATGGCTGCTGCACTGTGGCACAGTTTGTAGCTCTGCTGCCTTATGGCATGGAGGTTCTGGGTTCGATTCCTGGTCTTTCTGCATGGAGTTAGCATGTTCTCCCTGAGCATGTGTGGGTTCTCTCTGGGTACTCCAGCTTCCTCCCTCAGTCCAAAAACATGAGTGTTAGGTTAACCGTCTCCTCTAAATCCTCCTTAGGTGATTGTTTGTCCAGTGTTGCACTGCGGTGGACTGGAGCCTGTCCAGTCATCCATAGACCGCCATTTATTTCCATCCATCCTCTTCCTCTTTATCCAGGGCTGCGTCATGGAGGCAGCAGTCTAAGCAGAGATGCCCAGACTTCCTGATCCACAGCCAGCTCCTCCAGCTGCTCTGGGGGAGGCGACACCAGCGTGTCCTGGTCCTTCCACCAGGCCTCCTCCCAATGACCAGGTCTCCTCCCAATGGGACATGTCTGGAACACCTCCAGAGGGAGGCGACCAGCAAGCATCTGGAGCAGATGCCAGAGCCTCCTTAGCTGGCTCCTTTCAACGTGGAGGAGCAACCACTCTACTCTGAGCTCCTCCCAGGTAACTGAGCTCCTCACCCCATCTGGAAGGGTGAAGCCACCCTGTGAAGACACTCATTTCAGCCGCTAATATTCGCGATCTTGTCCTTTGGGTGACTACCCAGATATCATGACCATAGGTGAGGGTGGGAACGTAGATCCATCAATAAATCCAAAGCTCTGGACCTGAGCAGAACCTTTATTCTCATAATATTACGACATCATCCTTCTAATTTTACGACTTTATTCTCATAATATTACGATGTTATTCTCGTAATATTATGATTTTATTCTCGTAGTATTAGGACTTTATTCTCGTAGTATTACGACTTTATTCTCGTAATATATTCTCATAATTTTATGACTTTATTCTCGTATTATTACGACTTTATTCTCATAGTATTACTACTTTATTCTCGTAATATTACAACTTTATTCTCGTAATATATTCTCATAATTTTACGACTTTATTCTCATAATATTACGACTTTATTCTCATAGTATTACGACTTTATTCTCATAGTATTACGACTTTATTCTCATAGTATTAGAACTTTATTCTCATAATATTACGACATCATCCTTATAATATTACGACTTTATTCTCGTATTATTACGACTTTATTCTCGTAGTATTACGACTTTATTCTCATAGTATTACTACTTTATTCTCGTAATATATTCTCATAATTTTACGACTTTATTCTCATAATATTACAACTTTATTCTCATAGTATTACGACTTTATTCTCATAATATTACGACTTTATTCTCATAGTATTACGACTTTATTCTCATAGTATTAGAACTTTATTCTCATAATATTAGAACTTTATTCTCATAATATTACGACATCATCCTTATAATATTACGACTTTATTCTCATAGTATTACGACTTTATTCTCATAGTATTAGAACTTTATTCTCATAATATTACGACATCATCCTTATAATATTACGACTTTATTCTCATATTATTACGACTTTATTCTCGTAGTATTACGACTTTATTCTCATAGTATTACTACTTTATTTTCGTAATATTACAACTTTATTCTCGTAATATATTCTCATAATTTTACGACTTTATTCTCATAATATTACGACTTTATTCTCATAGTATTACGACTTTATTCTCATAGTATTAGAACTTTATTCTCATAATATTACGACATCATCCTTATAGTATTACGACTTTATTCTCATAGTATTACGACTTTATTCTCATAGTATGAGAACTTTATTCTCATAATATTACGACATCATCCTTATAGTATTACGACTTTATTCTCATAGTATTACGACTTTATTCTCATAGTATTACGACTTTATTCTCATAGTATTACGACTTTATTCTCATAGTATTAGAACTTTATTCTCATAATATTACGACATCATCCTTATAATATTACGACTTTATTCTCGTAATATATTCTCATAATTTTACGACTTTATTCTCATAATATTACGACTTCATTCTCGTGTTATTACAACTTTATTCTCATAATATTACGACTTTATTCTCGTAATAAAATAAATAAATAAATCTCTAGCCTGGCCCTAATACTCCATCGTATGGCTGAGTTAATACCAGATCCAGCATTATTATTGTTGCTGAGCATCTTCTGCAGGCTAACATTGTGCCATCAGGATCTAGGTGGTTTATATCTGTGATCATGTATCGTTGAACGGTGGCCAATCAGAGAGCCCGGTCAGAGCCCTGCTCCTGATAAACACACAGCGGTGCTTGGCGCCATCCTCCTGATCTTTAACGGGGCTGCTCCGCCATCACTGCGGTTCTCTGAACTCCAACACTTCCCCGCCAGCAGGGAGCGGCGCTCTTAGCAGTTCTATGTCTTTAGAGGATCAACAGAGAGCCATAAAAGCCTGCAGCTTTAACCCTTCACACACAATATGCTCTGTTAGCCCGAAGTTAGCAAGCAGCACAGGGTTCTACAGGCCGCGGTGTTAGCTTAGCACAGGCTAAGACCAGCAGAAGCATCTTTATTTCTTCCTTATGACCTCATAGCGAGCCTGATCACTAAAGGTGTTTTCTTGGAGGCTCGTGTAGCGCTGCACCGCTCCGTGTCCCCCCCTCAACATGCCGGCTAGCTGAGCAGCAGATGCCGGCCGGAGCGAACATCAACCACCAGCGGCAGCTCACATAAACACCCCCCCCAAAAAACAGCTTATCCTCCTACATACCATCCGGGGCTAACGGTGGCTGCACGGTGCTGATCGGTTCGGGTTGCGGGGGTCCCTAGTGAGGGGGGTGGCGGACGCCGGTGAGGTGCACTTTGGTTTCTTTTTGCACCCGAGGTGAGAAAATGGCGACTAGGTACAGTCCCGAGGTCCTCTTCTTCCCTTTTAGAGAAACAGGGTTTCTGAGGGGGGGATTCAGGGGCTGCTCCGGTTTCATTCATCTGGGTTTCAGCGGGAAACAGAGGCTAGCCTTTAGCCTAGCAGCTCTCTGCCTTATTACACAGCAGTACAGCACCTTCACACCTTAATAACGCTAAAACAGCCAGAACGCTGCGGTAATAACGGTATAATACAGTCAGAATATTCCTGATCAGGGGTGGAATCAGGAAATTTGGGGCCCTAGGCAAAGACAGGCAGGGGGCCCTCTGAATGGAGAAGACAACACATAGAACAGCCCCATTCTCCAGATAGAGAAATGTTAATAGAATAGACATCCATTATCTGTTCTAGGTTGTGTCCCTCTCTTCTTGTCCCTTTTCTTCTTGTTTTCCTCTCTATGTTTTGTACTCAGCTGACTTTTCATGCTGTCTCTAAAGGAATGAAAGATTTTTTCCAAGCACTAAGCTCACTTAGCTGATTGCTCCTTCCTGTGTTTCCAAAAAGGCCAAAGTAAATAACCCAGTCCTTCTTTTCACTGTAGACAAGCCATGATCTGCTTATCTGTTCTCCATTTTTCATTTGGATGAAATAATAGCTGCATGAATCATGACAGCAGACAAGATAGAGGAGAGCAGGAGGCGGGGTTACCAATCTACTCGCTCTGGAGAGCAGAGTTCGCTGCTTTTAGATGTTGTCTCCAAAGTCTCCAGTAGCAGAAAAAAGTCTCTAGATTTGGCGCCAGGAGCTTTTTAGAAATCAAAGTGCTAGAGGGGTCTGAAAAGTGGCTAAATATAGCGACTAAAGCGCTAAGTTGGCAACACTGCTCTTTACATGGTTTGTTTTCAAATGGTTTGCTGCTGTCTGTTTGGACCTTTCTGAACATGTGCAGCAAATGGACTGATCCAATATGGTGGACACTGAAGGGGGGGGCTGAGACACACTTAATATTATCGGCGTTCTGATGGCATTTTAGAGAAAGGATTTTTATCAAAAACATAATTAATGTGCAGAAATAACCATACATGTAATCCAAGTTTTAAAGACAGTTTGATGCAAGAGATTAAGACATAAACTCATTTTACTGAGTATTTACCTACAGGACAAATGGAAGTGACAAACTTTTTCTTGTGCTTCTGGTGAATCTTATGGAGTTTGCGAGATTCGGCAACTATGATGAGGAAAAATAGAGGGAAAACAAAGGGTTAGTAAATATTATAGATAATCCTTCATTGCAGTGTTGCAGCAATTAGCAGAGAGGAAAATGGGTCTTCGTGTCCTCCAGCAGTGTAGACCTATAGCAGCTTAGGCATCCTAATTATGAGCTTCATTAAAAATAAAAGGTTCTGGATAGCGGAACAATCCGAGTGCTGATGTATGATGGAGGAAAAGCAAGTCTGATCTCTCTCTGTTTAAAGCAGTTCTGAAGAACTTTCAGTCATGGGCGATTTTTTGGCTGCCCCCCACTGGACAAAAGCTGTATGGTTTTTCCGGTCTCCCAGTCACCTGCTGCTGAATTGAACTTATGGGTGCAAGATTGTCACAAAATTATTTGCACGTGTGTGGAGAGTTGTGTGTCTGTATTTGAAAATTTGTAAATAAATCTGGAAATGTGAGGAGATTTATGCGTCTGTACATCAATCTGCAATTGTGTAAAAAACACTTGTGTGTGTAATCTGGTTTGCAAATGTGTAAAAAAATCCACAGATCTGTATTCAGATCTATAAATGTGTAATAAGATCTACAGATCTACTAACATTTGAATACATTAGATGTGAATACAGATTTGTGGATTTTTTTACACATCTTAGCATAGATGGCTTCCTTCCTCTCAAACCACCTGTCCTCTTTGTCCAAAATGTGAACATTCTGGTCCTCCAAAGAATGTCCTTTGTCCATCAGGTGTAGATGGACCGCAGAGTCTTTTCTGGAGGGTGTAGCTCTTCTGGGCCATGCGTCTTCATAGATGCACAGCCCAACACTTTCTAAACTAAAACCAGGCTTTGTTGGGCTGCTGGATTAAACCTGGAACTAAACGCCATTTCTGACATTTTTAATTGAAAAATCTTCCTGGATGGAAGAGAAACGTCTTCAAACCTGGAAACAAAGTCCAGTGGATTAATTTTTAATGTTTTATTTTATTTTATTTTTGTTTTGGTATATATAATAAAGGTTGAATCTAAGTCTGAGGAATTCACTAGATTAGATGAGATTAAACTTTATTAATCTCACAAAGGAGGAATTCACTTTTATTAACAATAAAAGGAGGAAAATGTGCATCAAGTAGATACAGTTTAATAAGATATATATGAGTGGATGGGAAATAATAAAAAATAAGATTAATATCAAAGGTTAGAGTAAAATTAATTTTAGTCGATCTTTGACTAATTCTTCTATTTTATAAATCATATTTTGCTTTTCTTCTAACTACTAATATAATAATATATTTTGGGTGAGCGATCTGCTTTGAAAAGAACCCCGGATGTGCTTACGTCACATCCTGTTTCCCATTGGGGGCGTAGCGTTTACACATCTTTGCTCGTTTATTGGCTAAGCGCGAAATTTAAATAGTTGTTGGGAGCAGCTAGGAAGCTAGCTAATAACGAGCTAAATCCACACAGTTAGCTCTGTGTTACAGCGGAGCTAAATAAAGCGATTGTTAATAAAGTTTATTTAATGTTCAGGGAGCTGAGATGGATATCAGCTCGTATTTACGGTGAGTCTGCTGGGAGCCGTTAGCGGCTGTTAGCTTCCTGCTGCCAGGCTGCTTTTCTCCTCAATCTTCCAATCTTTTCCCTTTCAGGTGCTTTGAGGACAGCTTGGCCTCCTACAGTGGAGATGACCCTCTGCATCCGTGGGACAGGTGAGTCCAGATAGATCCAGGGTTTCCAGACCGAACATCTGTTAGAAAAACCGCCCAGTTATGAAATAGTTTTATTTACTGGATGGAATGACAAAACGATATAATCCAACATAATCCGCCCTCAGTTGTTCTCCATAAACAACTCTGACAGTGACGTCAGATCTAGTAAGGGTCACGTGACATCACACAGATTAATTAGTGGTGAGATTAACTCTGATCTCTATTTATTCCCTGGATAGCTGATCGCCCGTTGGTAGTAGGGGGTTAAAGTGAAGCCACCGGCCGCCATATTGGTACTCCCTGGTTAGAGCGGTCAGAATGTAAACAATCTGCAGCAGTTCTTATTTTCAGGGTGGCTTTAAGCAATGTTAATACAAAATGCAGAGTGAGAAGTTAGTAATAACCTGCTTATGTTATTTGAATGTATAACTGAAATTATTAAGGACTAAAACACCTAAAACTAAAAGCTGGAGTTTTTCCTTAAATTTAACATGAAAAACAAAAAACATCTAAACAGATTTTTCATGGTTTGTAGCAGAAATGCTGCTTTAGCCAGAATGCTGAGTCATCTTCCAGACATACTCTGCTGACTAAAGATAAATTGTTTCATAGCATCATTAGATTAATTTAACTTAGAATACTTAGCAGAGTCGTTATGAAGTCTATAAATCATATAATATAACATTATAAAAATCCATCACAATAAAATTAATGTGTTAATGGGGCAGAATAATACATGATAAATGATGATGTACATGTAATAAACATGTATTGATGATATTGTTGTGGTAATTACACGTTTTTATTTATTTATTTGTTTATTTGACAGGGACAGTACAATTAAACATTGCAACCAAACAGGTGGCCGATGTCCAAGTATATAAGGCTTGTAGCCATGGGCTAATTGGCAGCCTTCGTCTCTGGTTAGGCTTTTAAAAGGTGTTAGCATAAAGGGGGAGGGAGGTTAGTAACGACACACAGATGCATTAAAAAAAAAATGGAAGTTAAAACGAAAATAAATGTACAGTACGAGCCAGTTTAGTGCTCACACTCTTATAATCTGTTACTTTAAACAGAATTTAACACTGAAATAAAATGAGGTGTTTATGCTTCCATGTTATACATTGAATTAAAATATATATATATATATATATATATGTATATGTGTGTGTGTATACAGGTGCTGGTCATAAAATTAGAATATCATAAAAAAGTAGATTGATTTCAGTAATTCCATTTAAAAAGTGAAACTTGTATATTATATTCATACATTACATACAAACTCATATATTTCAGATGTTTATTTTGTTTAATTTTGATGATTACAAATGACAACAAATGAAAATCTCAAATTCATCATATCAGAAAATTAGAATATTGTGAAAAGGTTCAAAATTGATGGCCCCTGGTGCCACACTCTAATCAGCTAATTAACTCAAACCACCTGCAAAAGCCTTTAAATGGTCTTTCAGTCTAGTTCTATAGGCTACACAATCATGGGGAAGACTGCTGACTTGACAGTTGTCCAAAAGACGACCATCGACACCTTGCACAAGGAGGGCAAGACACAAAAGGTCATCGCTAAAGAGGCTGGCTGTTCACAGAGCTCAGTGTCCAAGCACATTAATAGAGAGGCGAAGGGAAGGAAAAGATGTGGTCGAAAAAAGTGTACAAGCAAGAGAGATAACCGCACCCTGGAGAGGATTGTGAAACAAAACCCATTCAAAAATGTGGGGGAGATTCACAAAGAGTGGACTGCAGCTGGAGTGAGTGCTTCAAGAACCACCACACACAGACGTATGAAAGACATGGGTTTCTGCTGTCGCATTCCTTGTGTCAAGCCACTCTTGAACCACAGACAGCGTCAGAAGCGTCTAAAGAGAAACAGGACTGGACTGCTGGTGAGTGGTCCAAAGTCATGTTCTCTGATGAAAGTAAATTTTGCATTTCCTTTGGAAATCAAGGTCCCAGAGTCTGGAGGAAAAGAAGAGAGGCACTTCATCCACGTTGCTTGAAGTCCAGTGTAAAGTTTCCACAGTCAGTGATGGTTTGGGGTGCCATGTCATCTGCTGGTGTTGGTCCATTGTGTTTTCTGAGGTCCAGGGTCAACGCAGCCACATACCAGGAAGTTTTAGAGCACTTCATGCTTCCTGCAGCTGAC